GCTTATGACTGATCAATCTCTGGAGTGAACCAAGAGAAATCAAACACGATTTTTGCAATCCGGCCAAGAGCCAGCATTGCATGGCAAAGACCAACCTCCATGATTACAAGACAAGCTCCGGGTAATTTGTTGAGTCAGTGTTCTGGATGAAAATATAGGCCTCTAGCTTGATATTCGAAGGCTCGGGTGCGGGCTCAGGCCTAAACCATAGGCCCTAAACTGGTTCCCGTTTTCCGGGTTCATGGTTTGACGTTTCGGGCTGTGTCTCAGGGGTCGGATGTCTGCTTCACCTTAAGGCCGGCTTAGGGTTCAGAGTACAGGGTTTAGGGTTTAGGCTTCAGAGTTTAGGGTTTAGCGGGTTTCTGAGTTTCGGGTTTAGGGTTTAGGATCCAACGTCTTGGTTGGGCTATAGGCTTAAGATTTGGGGCTAGGGTCTAGCGTTTGCGGTCCGGATTCCGTGCTTGCCGCGCATTGCAAGCAAGTCTTGTACGCCTATAATACATACCGAGAAGACACCAAGAAAGATCGGCTGCGTTTGAAGTTGCGGAAGGCCAACCCTAAACCCTAAACCTCGCTGCTGAAGCGAGGCTCAGCCCCAGTGTGCGTAACTTCCCAATCCCCCAAAACCTTTTAGGGGTTTAGGGAACCCTTAACCTTAGGCTAAACATAGCATCACACCCCTAAGAAGTAAACCATACGCAGTAAACCAAGATATAATATAGGCAGCCCGAAACCAAATAAACGGAACCTTAAACTTTGCCACAAATCAAAAACTTTATGCGTGAAGGGAGGAGGCAGGACATCCAGGCAACGCTGCTGCAACCAAGAGGGTGTGCATTAGATCGTTTCGGCGAATGTTCTCCAAGTCGCAGGAATTTAGGGCTTGTTGTTCAAGTTGCCGGGTTGACATGTGGGTCTAGTCTAGGGCTTGACGCCCTACCCAGCTGACACCCCGTACAAACCATGGTAAAAAACCACATGAGCTCCCTTACCTCTCCATCCTAGAACCCCTGAAATTTGCTCAGTCCCCAACCCCAACCATCCTAAACCCCTGAACCTTAAGTCCTCAACCTAGACCCCCCAACTATACCCCGAATACCCAGTATTAAGGGCCATTAGGGCTCTATTAAAAGTCCCTTTCGGTGGTCCTGGAACTCTATAAACCCTAAACGTCTAAACCTGTCTTACGCATGTCGACTGACGACCGCAGAGACTCCTCATCGCCTTGGATGAATCTCTTGGTCACTCCTTTGGCATTGGCGCTGGCCCCAAGTGGCAGTGTGACGTCAGCGTCGCCAATGTATTGGCACGCCAATGGTGCAGGTGCAACGTACGTTGCGGCTTGACCAATCGCAGAGTCTTGAGTCACATGGAGGCCTTGGGGGAAGCCGTCGGGATATGCAAAGGTCGACTGCTCGTCCTGTGCTGGGCCGACCACCAGTCGTGGGCTGCTGTAGATGAGCGATGAAGTGTTTGGCAAGCATCCTGAAAAAGACTCCACATGGCGATAGGCTGCTGTCCAAGCATGTCGTGTTTGTGCGACGCTCCAGGATGCGAAGTCGGCACCCATCCTGACTGCCCTGGACTTCCGCAGATGTGAAACTGCTCAGCGGGCTCTTTGGTCCAGTCTTTGACTGTGAGTGCTAGGAAATTCTCGTGCGCAGTGGCCCGAGCAAGTCAAGTCCGCCCAAAAAGAACCCTAAACCCTAAACCCTCAGTCCTAAATCCTAAACCCTCAACCCTAAACCTTCAGCCCTCAACCCTAAACTTTCAAACGCCTGAGCCCCGAAAGCCAACAAAGAACAGAAAGCTGCCTGGCATAGGCCCTGGCGGCCCCGGCTCTGGGATTCCACTCATCAGGTACCTGAGTCTCCGCTTGCTAGGGCTTGTAGGGTCCTAGGTACTGTTATGGGGGATAATTCCCCAAATCATAATAGTAATTCCTAGAATAGAGACCCTACATTCTACTATATAGGTACTTTGGACCCTTAGGGTAGGGCTTATAGGGTATATGGGTTTAGGGTTTATGGTTTGGGGGTTCAGGGGTTTAGGATTTAGGGGCTTTTAGGGCTACCTGAGGGCCCTTTTCCTTCTTGCTACAGTACCTGAGTCTCCGCTTTCTCTTATACTGGGTTTTTGGGCTCTTTTTAAAGTTGATGTGCACCCTTTCTCCAAAGTTGGGTTTAGGGCTTATGGGTTTAGGGGTTTAGGATTCAGGGGTTTGTAGGGTTACCTGAGTCTCCTCTTTTTTTGAGGGCCCTTTGCCTTCTTGCTACAGTACCTGAGTCTCCGCTTCAAACAGAGCTTACCGGGTATATGGGTTTAGGGTTTAGATGTTTAGGGGAGTCTCCGCTTTGTAGGGTTCATACAATTATATGATGCGGGTATATGGGTTTAGGGTTTACGGGTTTGGGGGTTTAGATTTGGGTTTTTTGGGGGTTACCTGCGGCTCCGTTTATTTCGGTTGGGGCTGATCGTTTAGGTTATTGATCAAAATTCAAGCGGGAGTTGGATGCTTAAGTTTGGGATTGTGGGGTCTGGAGATTCAGGTCATGGTCTTGTGGCTGTCAGAGGGGTAGGAAGCAATGACTCCGTTAGGTTCTTGTTGAAGTAGCTAATTAGACTGCGGAGTGCCTTAGGATGTCAGAGTTTGGGATTTACTGTTGGGTGGTCTTAGCATTCTTCTGTGGCTTCTATCTTGGTTTTGAATGTGTGCTTGTGTGGCATGGGGTACTTGGAGGTTCATGGGTAGTTACAAGCAGAGTTGTGAGTCCACTGATAGGAGTTATAAGCATAGTGACCCTACTTATAACCCCACTTATAACCACCCATGAACCTCCAAGTATGCCTTAACAAGTCTCAGCTGGTGCTGTCAGTCTGGCTGAATGCTTCAGGTTTTAGGGATTATAGAGTTTGTATAGTGTTTGGGGGCTTACGGCTCAGGGCCAGGGTGTCCGGCCTCGAACGTGTACATGTTTCTGAGTACTATGAGGGAGTCCCACACTCTGGGTAAGCATTGTGCGACGACGAAGTCTATATTGTGTATTCCTAGTGGGAGACTCAGGGTTCTTTGCCATAGAAGCTTGATCCACTTTAGTCGCTAAAGTCTTTGAGGGCTACTGCTTGACAGCCTGATCATGATCAAGCAACGACCTTCATGAACAAATGCTTCCACGAAAGAGCATTTCCAACCCCTGCTTGCCCCCCATTGCGGCTTGTTCCGAGTTCTGACAACCAACTTTATGTGGCACCTAGAAGCAAACACGGTGGCCATGCCATACTGCTGTTCTCATGATACCCGCACGTGTAAAGTGGGAATTTGTGGAAACGTTGGAAAAAGCTGGAAACGTCAACTCATTGGAGAAACTTCTTCCAGGCAATCTGCCAGGTATAGTTGGGAAAACCAATTTCGACAAAGTTAGGCAACCCAACATTTTGGAGCATCTCGTGTAAGGCCCTGCGAAACTTTATCCACCGAATCCTGTAAGTATACTATAGGGGCCCAGATAATTAGAAGAGGGTTTGGGCGATATTATAGTATAATAACGAACCTGCACGAGGGCGCCCTGTATTAGTGCGTAGACACGCGGAGATTTTGGACAAACAATGCAGGGCCGGCTTCCGGAAGCGTATTATTGGGGCCTCAGTAATTGACAATTAGTAACAGGGTGTTGAGCCTCATTAATTAACCTCTAGTTGTAATAAGGAACCCCCCAAAATAGTTAGTACAGGTAATTATTACGGCGGCCTCTCTAGTAATTACGGCAAAAATGCTGGCGCGGCCACCTGTTGCCAAGAATGTGCAGCGGCAGCCCAGAAATAAGACAGACGTGAGGTTCATAGGGGAGAGGTTAGCAAATACAAGGCGGGCCTTAGATTACAAAGTTCTCAAAACTCAAAGGGGAAAAGGAAGGACGTTAAGGGGGACCCTTACCCTATACCCTATATAATAGGTATATAATAGCTATATTAAGGGTATATGTATATATATATATATATATATCTAGGGGTCCTGATTGAGGGTCCCTTCTTTTCCCCGTGGAAAAACTAAGCCCAGCACTCTGCTGCAAGCATGGTGTTGCCGTTGGCGGCACGCAGCGCCCGTTCTACCTGGCAACTCCCCTATAGGGTTTAGGGTTTAGGTTTATACACCGAAACGTTACTTTGTTAAGCTGCGCAACCCTACACTGCGCCCTAGACCCCGAACCGTGACATGTACCGCATTTTTGGGGCCCAGATATCCAGGCATTATATGTCAGCGGGCATCCCAAAAACCAAAGAAAGGTGAAGGTGTGAGACACGAGGGTCTCGGGTAGCAGTGGGCTTGGAATTTGAAGGTTTCAATGCTGCATGTAGATACGACTAATATCACATTTAAACTCTCGTTGCTATCACTCTTGTCACCGTCAAAGCCTTGGCCAAAACTGTCTAATCTCAGCTCAGCTTGCATAAAACAACTCGGTGCTTCCTATGTTAATCTTTCATTCATCACGCTTGCCAAATGGCATCCGTTCCTTTGCATGAGATAATATAACGAACGGATGCACTGGCGATATTCTTCCCTGCGGTTCCCGAAAATAGACATGGTGACAGCGCACCCCTAAACAAGTCTACTCATCAATATGAAACAAGGCGCGAGAATCCAAAATATTCTGGACTGCATTTACAATTTGACGATATGACACAGATACAAAATCTGAGCCTCGCAGACCAAACAGCCGAACCACGAAAATTGAAGGACAAACCATTCCCTATGTTACCCCACAAACCGCTGAGCTGGCTGTCAACCTGGCTTGCCCGTCAAATCCATATCCCGTCAGAGCTGCCGAATAAATTACGGACCGGTCCACTAGCGGCTACACCAATCTTCCATGCACATGTCACAACCTTATTGAACGTACATGTAGAGAAACAACTACCAAGAATCAGGTCCCTGCAGCATGTCAATCTTGGGCATGAACTGTTGAGCTCCGAAACGACATTGCACCAAAAACTAGCAGCTAGGCCGCCAGGCGTTCAAGACTCTGCAGCCACGTGGCCTCCTCCCGCGGAAAGCCCATTTCGCACAGGCTGTTCACGGATGCTGCCTCGCACGAGGTCGGGGACAAACTGCCAAAACAAATGCCACTAGCAGACAATTACATGCAACGAGAACCTGGTGCATCATGCCGTGCAAAACACATTTCCGAAAACATCACCCACCGGTCAGCGGGCTTGTGCCAAACGCATGGGCTGATCACCCCTAGAAACCCTTGAAACCTGCATGACACATGGCAAAGGTCGTGAATGTGGCGAACGACGCCTTGTATTCGCATGAGTAGGTCAGAAACGCATCACCGTATAGAATGTATAGAACCCCTTCTTGGATCTCAAGTGTCGTGTGCGAGATGCCACAGACTTTGCCCCCGCAGAGCGCATACTCCTATCGCTCATGTGGATATAAAAAGCCTGGAAATCAAATTGACATGCCAAAATGCAAATGAATAGCTCAATGTCCACAAGCTTCCAAGGCTTGCATATATATATATATATATATATATATACACACACACATATACATATATACATATATATATATATATATTTCTATAGTTATATATTTGTATATTTAAGTATTTATATATATATATATATATATATATATATATATATTTCTATAGTTATATATTTGTATATTTAAGTATTTATATATATATATATATATATATATATATATATATTTATATATTTATATATTTATATATTTATATATATAAGTACATATAGTATATATATGTATATGTGTGTGTGCGCATATATATGTATATATGTGTGTATGTATATATGCATGTATGTATATGTGTAAATCGAAACACGTGTAAATACGTACATATGTATATATGTGCATATGTATATGTGTATATATGTATATATGTATATGTATATATGTATATATGTATATATGTATATATGTACATATGTATATATGCATCTGTGTATGGATATATATATATATATATATATATATATATATATATATATGTGTGTGTGCATATGTGTATACGGTACTTATATATATATATATATATATATATATGTATGTATATATATATGTAAATACATGCATACATACATACCTACGTACATATATATATATATATATATATATATATATACATACATACATACATACACACATCTCAACAACACGTGCACACACGAAGAAACCGTATGTCGTATGTATGCACGTGTGTCTATGTGCCCGCATGAACACAAAGGTTGAGATAGATATAAACATAAAGACGCAGATGAAGCTGACCACGATCATGAAGATGTTACAACTGTAGGTCAGGGTGTTTTTTTTTTTGTTGTGGCCCCTTTTTGCTCGGGCCCCGTGTCAATGGTTTCTAGATTTTTTTTTGCTGCGGTCCCAGGGCGTGCAAGGTGTTTTTTTTTTTGCTCCGGCCCCGCCGAAAGGCAGGGGAAAGAGCGGGGCCAGAGAAAAAAAAAAACACCACCCAGACCCTGCCCCGGAAGGGTCGCCCCGGCCCACAGTGAGTGAGTGAGCTTCCGGGCGGGGCCGCAGCAAAAAAAAAAACACCCCGACGGCGAGCGGGGCCGCAGCAAAAAAAAAAAACACCACTCCGGCGGAGGAGAAAGCATCGCTGCCCAGGCCCGCGCCCCGAAAAGGTCGCCCCGGCCCACAGTGAGTGAGTGAGCGTCCGGGCGGGGCCGCAGCAAAAAAAAAAACACCACCCAGACCCTGCCCCGGAAGGGTCGCCCCGGCCCACAGTGAGTGAGTGAGCTTCCGGGCGGGGCCGCAGAAAAAAAAAAAACACCCCGACGGCGAGCGGGGCCGCAGCAAAAAAAAAAACACCACTCCGGCGGAGGAGAAAGCATCGCTGCCCAGGCCCGCGCCCCGAAAAGGTCGCCCCGGGCCACAGTGAGTGAGTGAGCGTCCGGGCGGGGCCGCAGCAAAAAAAAAAACACCACCCAGACCCTGCCCCGGAAGGGTCGCCCCGGCCCACAGTGAGTGAGGCCACAGCAAAAAAAAAAACACCACTTCCTACAACTGTAAATACCAACCTACAAGTAAAGATAATGGACACAGGTCCAAATTCAGAAAACGGAATGGAACTACGAAGATCTATACACGTTGAGACAAAAGGATGATGATGATGATGATGATGATGATGATAAGAATAAAGACCGCGATAACACTAAACACCAGAAGGTACACTACACACTTTAAACAACAACAAACGACCAAGAAAACCTACATATAACGACGGTGATAAACATATACAGAAAGACATGCTCATTTTCTTGGCTTATGGAACAACTCCGAGTACACACACACACACCTGCACGCTGCTTCCGCTCCGCCTCATACATGCGTATTAGATGGTTTTGGCTTCACGAAAACGAAAGCTGCAGATCAATGAGGGAGCATGCACATATTAACATGGTTCCGTCCGTGTTGCATTCAGCAACTCGGGAGTGCATAATTACCATATATGCCTTGAGCATGTTGCGGAAATCGTTGCAATTACACCGGGCGCTTGTGCTTCCGAAGATTGCTGACATCCGGATTTGGTTGCGCCAGACCTCCCGTCTCCCGCTGGCTGTAGACTCTTTACTGCGTCTGAAATGTGCCTGTAGTCTCCTTTGCAGTTTCTTTTTTAGGGTTACCTTATAGGCTCCCAATTGTATATTTGGTTAAACCCAAAACAGGAAATTAACATGGAGACTATAGGCGGGTCCTACTTCGTCTTCAACTCGGCCTTCTTTGTATGAATTTGATAGGGGCAGGTCATCCCATTTTCGCAATTGCAACCCCGTGTATCCTGCTATCACGGAAGCACAAACAAGGCGGAACCAGAATCCCTATGATTCACGGACTGAACTAAAACTGTAGTACTCTTTTTGCTACCTTGATTTCCAATTCTAGCATCCCATCTACCATATAAAGCGTACCCCCCAAATAAGGTGTTACTGTCCAAAGAGCTAGGCTAGAGTAGGAGTCTAGCTAATCAGGGTAGCGCAAGGAGCGGTGGTTTTCGACTACAACCATAAACAGGACAAAAGTTTTGTATTCCACTAGTTACTACTCGTCATTCGGACCCCTGTAGCACTCTGAGCTGCACATCCTCGACCCCAAAACCGAACCCCAGTATTCGGAGTCTGGGTGTCGGGATCGACTGATCAAGGCAATGTAACGGTTTAGGGTTGAGGGTTTAGGGTTTGGGGTTCTGTTGGTGTTTGGGGTTTCGCATATGGCAAAGCCGAATCTTGGCAGGAAGTTTCACTGAGTCACAGAAGCCAGCGAGCCCAAGCAAATGTCGGACTCATGTATTGCAAGGACACTAGAAACCGGAATGCCCCCTCGCTGTATTGTTGACATCTCGAAACCAGAGATTCGGCTCTGGCAAGTCCAGAGCTTTAGATCTTAGCTGTTTCACGAGCGTACAACTTAAACCCTCAATCAAGAAGCTTAGCACATGGGTCAGGACCGAAGGATTACCGTGCATGCTTGCTGTTGCCACATATGTAGCACCTCAACAATACGGTGACAAAGTCCACGAATTAGAACAACATGACTAAAAGGCCGTGAAGCGGTACGATTGCCATCGCTGCTCCTACTGCTATGCAGCTGTTATTGGGTGCACTCTTCCATCGCCGTTCTCGCCGGTTTTCTGCTGCTATGACTGCGAATGTTCATTTCACTGATGTCGTAGAGGCTTGAAACCCGCAGGTGTCGTTTCAACAGCATCAAAAATATTCATAGTTAGTCCTATATTGAACCAATAAGGAGATTAGAAATACCCCGCAAATGGGGACTAGGCGGGTTTAGGGATGGCGCTTAGGATTATAGCGCCCTTGGTCAGGGTTTAGGACTCAGGGTTAAACCCCTAAGCCGTAGGGTTTAGCCTCAACTCCGTCGGGAATGCATTGCTCCAAGATTGCTCTCTCGCTTCGAGTTTCTCAGTTTCTCCACGACCATTCAGAGATTCATATGACTAATTATGGGCCATGAAGGGCTATAGTGCAGAGCACCTACAGTCGCCACGGTAGTTCCTTTTTGTGGCTTGCCTTTCGGGTCAAACCCCAAAAAAATCAACAAATACAATGCAACTACGGGCTATAGCATACCCTAAACCCAAAACCCTAGTCTGTTTAGGGTTTATGTAGGGTGGAAGGGCTGGGTTCGGTCTTCGGAGCTGTGCAAAACTTCCGGTGTAGTTCATTTCTAGGCTGTCTTATTCTACCGCAACCGGCTCTTTTGCAGGGTCTCATGATCAGCCCTAATATGGGCCTAGTTGCAGGATGGGCCCTAACGGTTTGGGGATGTAAGGCCAGGGTCTGAAATCTAGGATGTAGGGTTTAGGTGCTTGGGGGCTGAGGGCTAGCGGGTCAGGACTTGCATGGGCCCTAAACCCTAAAACCCAGCACCCTAAATTCTAAAACCATAAACTGAAACAAATCCCAACCCATGGTTTTTCCAAAAAAAAACACCAAGCCCTCTTTCAGGATGGTTTGGAAGCCCCCAACCCACAGCCCATAACATGCTGTGCTCTGAGCCAACCACATCCAGCGGAGGTGCCTTGGGGGATCTGGGTCAGGGTTTGAGGTTTTGGGGTTTAGGGTTAGGGTTGGGGGTTTAGGGTTTAGGGTTGGGGGCTTAGGGTTTAAGGGTTTAGGACATTTAAGGGTTTTGCTGGACCCTCGAGTAGCACAACCTATTTTATGGCTAGGTAACAACCCTGTACCAAGAAAACAAAGTAAACAGGTACGACATTCAAGGATCTAGGCGGGGTTCAGGGTTTGCCTACGTACAACTGACACTACCCTTTGTTTTAGCCCCTGATTACATCTTCTTGAGAGATACGAATTGAGAGGGTGCACGGGGGATTTGGGGTTCAGCAACATGCCCAATGTACTAAAACTGCTGAATCCCTTGATTGTAAGGGCCTCACTAACTTGAACATGCTTTTGGGATATATATATATATATATATATATATATGTACACATATAAAAAGGGAGTACTCTTGCTAAGTCTTCCAACACCAATACTCAAGCCCGCCTGTCGACTCTAATTAGACACTCATCTTTCCACGTGGCACTCGGTAGGTTTCCGAATCGAGAACAGTCCTTGTCATTACCTTCGGGATTCGGGAATGCCAGAATGTGAGTTATATGGACCGCAGGGGGCTATTGTGAATGAAGGCGCGCAACACTACTGGGGGATGCTGCTGTATCTGAGCCGGCGATAGCCCTACGGCCTACAGCTCCTTGCAGTATCCTTTGATGCCTCAGTAAACCTACCCGGAATCCTTGTCTTGCTGGGTGAACAGAGTAAGTGGAGGCTTTGAAATTCACACCCTCGTGGACAGCCTGAACCTCAGACGACTAAAACACCCACGGATTTTCGTGGGTATACTAGCATTATAAAGCGATGTATGTGTATCTACACATAGATAATATGGGTGATCCTGGGACATTGGTACCACCAACCTGGTGCCTTTATACAACCTGTTCAATCCATCTCGACAGCCATGCTAAGCAGTATAACAGTATAACCTCCTACGTTTAACCCTGCACCAAACTCTAAAAAATCTCAACCCCTACACGCTCAACCAACCAACCTGACCCCCATAGACCCCAAAGCCTAAGGCCTAGCCTTCAAGCCAGAGCCGGGCAGTGAAGAAGTCCCAACGACTGCGGTCTCAAACCCTGAATCCTAAACTTAAACCCAACCCCTATAAACCCTAACTAAAGCCACCAAAAACCCTCACCGCACACCCTGACGCCCTAAACCCACCCCAAAAAAAACAGCTAAACCCTGTACCCTAAGCCCTACACAATAAACCCTGACGGATCTCCCTGTAGTCTCCATTGTAGCTCCTTTTTTTTGGTTAACCAGTTTTATGGTTAGGATCCTATAATAGTCTCCATTGTAGTTCCTTTTTTTGGTTAACCAAAATCTCTATTATAGGATCCTAACCATAAAACTGGTTAACCAAAAAAGGAACTACAATGGAGACTATAGGTATCGACTATAGGGACCTTAAATTACCTAAATTACCTTAATAGTCCTGTCTTGAGGATTAAGTTGGGTTTCGGGGTCTGATTCGGGGTTTAGGATTCGGAATTTAGGACAAAAAAGGCTGTACTATAGGTCCAGTGTGTGTAGAGCTTCCAAATCCGAATCCGAATCCCAGTGCTCAAGGCTTCGGGCTCCGGAGCTGGCTTCTAAGGGCTTCTAGGGTTTAGGGTTTAGGGTTTAGGGGTTTAGGGTTTAGGGTTTAGGGTTTAGGGTTTAGGGTTTAAGGGGTTTAGGGTTTAGGGTTTAGGGTTTAGGGTTTAGGGCTTCCAGTTCATGGTCGGGGTAGGATTAAAAATTGAGATTTCTATTCCTTATTGGGCTTAATTAAGTATGAAATACCCATAACATGTAAAATGTCACCCAACTGTGACAAAGGCTTCGTGCTTTCTCGTTGAGCTCCTTCACCCCCAGGTCTGCTAGCAAAGGATTTAGTATCTAGGCGACATTAGGTCCCCAAAAGTACAAACCATAGGTTCCCACAGCGTCCTCTTCTGTCCTCTTCTGTAGGATTTAGGGGTTAGATTTAGGATATGGCTTCAATTGCTTCTGAACAGCCAACAGTAGTGATGAGCGTGATAGAAGACGCGATGTTTAAGATCCCCTCAACCTGCAATCCCCAATCTTGAGACGCCGACCGCTGCAGGGGTCGGCGCAGGAGCTGGGGCGGGCGTGGCCGCGGCCTGGGAGTTCGACTATTCAGGATTAGCGGCGTCATTGCTGCATCCTATTTATAAACTGCAAATTTCATCCTGAACTTCCTGAAGGCTCAACCCTACAAATGCCACTACAATCTTAAACCTTATGATTGGAGCCCGTCAGTCTTCACCCGCCAGCAGACCGTCCCAAGGCCCGTAAATCTTCTCAAAATAAATTTTCGCTATCTCCAGAGTCTCCAGAGTCTCTGTTGCACCAACCAAAGCATTCCGCCACAAGGGTTCTGCACAGCTGTGGGAAGTGTATAAAGGTGGTAAATGTGAGTGCATTTACAAGCTTTCTGCAAGATCAAGTCAAGGCTTCTTAAAGGATCATGGGACTTAGTAACTAGGGTTATAATTAGGGTAACTATACTTATATCTACTTATAACCCCATTTAAAGTACTTATAACCTTAATTACTAAGTCCCATGATCCTCCAAGTTCTGTTCGAGGCCGCACATTCCGAAGCGTGATGGTTACGAATAGGACTGTCCGTCTGATGGCCACTGCTGTCCGTGCCGTCATGGCGCAGAAAGAAATCAAACTAGTTCGATTCCTGCGACCTTACACATGTGTAATAAAAAAAATAATGGGCAGACAGACAGACGGACAAACAGACAGACAGATGGATAGACAGATAGATAAACAGATAGACAGATAAGAAGACAATCGGAATATAGATATGATGTGTTCATATGACAAAACAAGACAAGAGACGACAAGACAAGACAAGACGACATAAGATAAGACCGCTAGATAGGATACACAGATAGATAGATAGATAGATAGATAGAGTCAGGCACATAGACACACAATTAGATAGTTAAATAGAGAGATAGATAGTTAGGTACATAGGTAAACAGGTAGGTAAGTAGGTAGGTAGGAAGCTAGGAAGTTAGATAGACACAAAGATAGCTAGGCAGATAGATCAATACATAAATAGTCAGATTAATGGTACATGCGCAGACACATAGGTGGATTGCTAGGTAGACAGATAGATATAGATACACATTCATGTGAGTATCGTGCATACACACATATGTCCATATGTGGCTGCCTACCTATCCACCCACCGACCTACCCTGCCCACCCGCCCATACTTATGCACACATATACATTTACACTTACTTACTTACCGACTTACTTTCTCACGCTTTACATACTTACATACATGCATACATACGTACATACATACATGCATACACACATACATAATTACATGCAGCGTGTTGACAGTAACGCCATCGAGACGGCGTTCATTGCCGAAGGCTTATTCGCCAATGTTGTTGCTGTCAGCTTCGATGCTTCTCATCCCTCTATCGCAGCAATGACTAGGAAAGCTGATCAGCAGCTTCCGACACATTCAATTCACCTTACACTGCATTTTCTTTCGCATGGTGACTCTCGCAAGCCCGACCACTGCTAAAACCTGCGGCCAGAATCTTTAACCCCAGCTCGGCAAAACCCAAAGCCTTGACCCGGAAACCCAATCCTCAAAACCTACTACCTGCCCTAAACCCTAAACCCTAAACCCTAAACTTAAACCCCTAAACCCTAAACTTAAACCCCAACCTCTAATCCTGAGCCGGAGACTCAGCTCTTCTTTAGCCTAGTTGCGGGCGCAGGCGCGGGAGTAGGTGCCGGCGTCTCTGCGGCCTATAGCTCTTGCAAGGTCCAAGCTCTCACTATAGTAACACTAATACTAACAATAATGTTGTAGTAAGAACAATATTATAGTCATGACATTAATCAGTAATAGCAATATCTGCGGTTGGGGGCAACTGGGGTTCGTTGAGGGGGTGAGGGTTGGGGTTTAGGGCCTTTAGGGTTTAGGAGGGGTCTGGGGACGGAGGTCTCGGTATCAGGGCTTAATAGGGTCTAGGGTTTAGGAGTTTAGGGTTTAGGGTATCAGGGCTTACAGCTCGTAGGGTGGTACTTTATCCAGACCCTCACATTTGACATGAAGCTGTTGCTGGTTGCTAGTTTTTGTTGTCTCCGCTGTCAGGAAGCTTAGCAATAAAAAGGTTTTACCATTACGACAACGTAGGTCTAGGCACGACATGCAGCATGAACAAAGACTGAAGCAAACATGACGACAACTTGAGCCGAAGTTTCTCACTCGGCTGGAAGACTAGGGTTCAGGGTTTAGGGGTTTACGCTAGAAAGACGCACACGCACACACACACACACAAACACACACACACACACACACATACACACACAGGGCGCGACTCCTCTCCCTCAATCCATGGCTATGTTTCCGTTCAAACACTAAGAAACCTACCACTGTACGTGGTTGTTTGAAGTGGCTGTCCCTCTACATATATGTATTGTATAAATGTATCCCACGGCCTGTTCAAATTATTGAGGCTCCTGTACTAACTCCTACGTACCCACGTCAAGACCGAAGATGAAGCGCTGGACAAAGAAGAGGCCCTACAAGAATCTAGTCAATACTGCAAAGACGACCCACATAAAAGGCACCCTCTGACTTGGAAAGCTTCCCCCTTGCCCAAAACCCTAAAGCCAAAGCCCGAACTCTTCTTTCGCATGCATTTCTTCTTCTCCCCTGTAGAGTGCAGTTGAAATCACCTGCAAAGACCCATACATTCCGGATAAACTGCAGTATATAACCCCAAACCCTAAACACAACGTTCTGCAGAATATCTAATATGCTGTCCGATTGCCGGCGTCGCTGCTGGCTTGGCCTTTCGCCGCAGATTGGGTGGATCTTTGTCTTTTGGTTTATGGGGTTTAGGGTTCAGGGGTTAGTGTTTGGGGCTTGGAGTTCAGAGTTGGAGGGCTTCATATGAAGGGATTTGTGAAGCACTTGTGTTCTTGAGAGCTAGGGGCACCTTTACATAAGGGTCCTTCTGATGAGGATCCTGTTATAGGGTCTATCATAAGGTCCCATAATCTTTAGGTCTGATACTCCAATATAAGCCCAAAGTGTTCAAAGTACCTGTATAGTAGAATGTAGGGTTTCGACATTAAGACATACTATTATGGTTTGGGGAAGTATCCCCCATAACAGTACCTAGGACCCTTTGGGAAGCCTAAACCCTAAACCCTAAGCCCCTAAACTCTAAACCCCTAAACCCTAAACCCTAAATCCTAAACCCTTAATCCTAAACCCTAAACCCTAAATCCTAAACCCTTAATCCTAAACCCTAAACCCTAAGGCTTTGGCATTCACCCTTTGGCTTCAAGGCCGGAGCATTGAAGCCTCTCTGCTCGAGATAGGGTTTTCGCATCGGGGGCAGGAACATTACAGGGAGTCTAGGGTGCCCAGTAATGGGACTTAGTAAGTAAGGGGTCCTCATAGGGACCTATAGGGTTCCTTAAAGGGATCTATAGGGTTTAGGGTGTAGGGTCTACTTGGAGGATCATGGGACTTAGTACTTAAGGTTATAAGTACCTTAATTGGGGTTATAAGTAGTTACAAGTATAGTTGCCTTAACTATAACCCTGGTGACTAAGTCCCATGATCCTTTAAGTAGACTGACTGACTACGACACAAAACTATGGATTTCGTGTCCAGGCTTTGGGCTTGCGGGTCTTAGAGCTGGTAAAGTATAAAGGGCTTAGGCGGTAGGTAGTCAAACAGCATGCTAAGCCCTAAACCCGAAACTGTAAGCCCTACGAGCCCTACCCCTAAACCCTGAACCCCTGCAGCCTAAACCCTAAACCGTTATGGCCGGAGCCCTTTTAGCTCTAGCCCCTAAACCCCAAACCGTTATGGCCGCTAGAGCCGGTCCTTTGTAGCCATCGCCACGATGAAGCCCGAGCTCTGGTAGCCGGACTCCTCGACGGTCGCCTGGAAGGCTAAGGGCTTACCCATAGGCCCCAAAGTAGTTCCTTTTTGGGATTACCTTATAGGATTCTAAATATGAGCCCCAGAAAGGAACTATTTTGGGGCCTTAGGGTAGAGGGCTTTGAGGTTTAGGGCTTCGGAGCTTAGGGCCCAGGGTGTGTTTAGGGTTTTGGGGGTTTAGGGTTTCGGGGTTTAGGGCTTGAGGTTTCGGGCAAGTTTAGGGGTTCAGGGGGTTTTCAGGACTTTACATAAAAAAAAATGTAGCGTAGTTCAACGGCCCTTAAACTCTGCCCTGGCTTGCGTCGCAGCCCGTATTCGCGACTTAAATGCGCCGGTGGAACCCTGACATATTTTTTTTTTTATGTTTAGAGGGCCTTTGAAGGAGTTCAGGGTTTATCGGGCCGCCTCTCGGGTAAATAGGTCTTGCAGGGCTTAGGCTTCCTTGATCTTGCTGTGGCTCTGTTTGCGAACCATTTCAGGCTCTAGGGTTCAGGGATTAGTCATGAAGTAATCTAAGGGTCCTACTGCTTGGTTTTGAGTGCCAGAAATCATTCAGAGTAGAGCGAAACCCCTAGTATTTAGACAACTGTGGCGAAAAGGTACTATATACACCGGGGGAACTTTGCTTACTTTGCCAACTATTTTCTGGAGCTTGTTTGGGTGCCTTGGGCTCTTGCCCTGCGACCCCAGGCCCCCCAAACCCGAAGCCCTACACGCTGAACCCTGAAAAGGTACGGCCTAATATGAAGAACACAAAGCCCTGAACCTTTAGCCGGGGTTTGTTGTTACTTTGGGTGCTCCTGAAACGACCTCAAGCCACGGGGGCTGACTCTGTAGCTGTGGTAAGGTTGCTGATATCTCAGGGTCTGAGCTGAAGTTGTGGATCAGATTCGATTCAGGTTTAGGGCTTTCAGGTCTTAAAGTTTGCGGCTTCGGGGTTTCAAGTGCTCGGGCAACTGTAGGTAAGGTTGTGGCTTTGTGCCACTTCACGGGTTATAAGTAGGGTAACTAGACTTATAACTCATATTAGGGGACTTATAACCCTACGTCTAACTACCCATGAACCTTCGAGCTGCGCCTCGTCTGCCAGGATCTTCCCACAGTAGATCAACTTCTGGCCTTTAACCGAGTCTGCGAGAAGCTCTTTTTAGACATGAAAACAATGGAGACCAGAAGCGTTTAGAGCTTTGGATATAACCACTGCAAGAAGAAAACTCGCAAGACCCTTTTTCCAGCCGCCGTCGCAACCAGCTTGCCTTTCAGCAAGTATGCGTACTTGCCCACTAGCCTAACCCAGGTTTCCAACATGTCAAACCTCTGGCACACTGAACCCGACGATCCTGCACCAAAACGCTTCCGATCTCTTAGCGAGTGCGCATATGTGTACATATATTGATGTGTATATATATATATATATATATATATATATAGATAGGTAGATAGATAGGTAGATAGATAGAGATATAGAGAATGCGGACAATAAAGATATAAATATAGATGTAGTATGCGAATATATTGTGTGCAGTCAGCTACAACTCATTTTACAGTAGCCCGCTCGTCTCGTTGTCCGGCTTCTTTGCGCTGCTCTCCTCGGAGTCTCCTGAGATCTGGCAGTCTGGGTTTAGGGTTTAGGGTTTAGGGAATTGGGTTTAGGGTTTAGGGTTTAGGGATTTGGGTTAAGGGTTTAGGGTTTAGGGTTTAGGGTTTAGGGTTCAGCAGCTCTGGCTTTGAAAATTTCTTGTTAAGCTATTTCCAGTCAAGCTATCTTCAAGAAGAAACCCCACCCGCCCAGAGAATCCCCTCACATCAGAATTAACAGTTTTATTTCTTTTGGCTAGAATTATTAAATACTAACTTATATACGGCTTAAAGAATCTATCATATTTTCAACCGTTCGCGAAAATCAACACACTAGTGACTTCACCATCGACGTTATTGCCTGGTAGGACCTGGTGCTGTTTCTTTACAGTCATTCTCGCCACACGCTTCACTTTAAGAAATTATTTCTGCCGACCAGCTTTCTAAGAGAGCTAGTTAAGAAACACAACATCGCCCTAACCCGCGGAAGCTGCGGTCACGCCATCGCTTTACGATAGCAACCATAGCTGTCAAGTGTCATGACTTGAATCTCCTCACCTAGAACAGCTATCGAATTCGATTTCATGTCTTTCAATGTTTCCACATCGGACTGTGTCCACTGCCTGACAACATTGCCTCCAACAGTTGAAGCTGCGGTCACGCCATCGTTTTACGATAGCAACCACAGCTATCAGGTTTCTTTGCGATGACCGTTCAGCTGAAACCCTTCATCAAGAAGGCTGCCTTGAGACGGATGACCCATAGTCTTCCAAAGGCAAAAATCCCAGGACAGTTATCTGAGACGGATGACCCATAGTCTTCCCCAGGCAAAAATCCCAGGACAGTTATCTGAGACGGATGACCCATAGTCTTCCCAAGGCAAAAATCCCAGGACAGTTATCTGAGACGGATGACCCATAGTCTTCCCAAGGCAAAAATCCCAGGACAGTTATCTGAGACGGATGACCCATAGTCTTCCCAAGGCAAAAATCCCAGGACAGTTATCTGAGACGGATGACCCATAGTCTTCCCAAGGCAAAAATCCCAGGACAGTTATCTGAGACGGATGACCCATGGTCTTCCCAAGGCAAAAATCCCAGGACAGTTATCTGAGACGGATGACCCATAGTCTTCCCAAGGCAAAAATCCCAGGACAGTTATCTGAGACGGATGACCCATAGTCTTCCCAAGGCAAAAATCCCAGGACAGTTATCTGAGACGGATGACCCATAGTCTTCCCAAGGCAAAAATCCCAGGACAGTTATCTGAGACGGATGACCCATAGTCTTCCCAAGGCAAAAATCCCAGGACAGTTATCTGAGACGGATGACCCATGGTCTTCCCAAGGCAAAAATCCCAGGACAGTTATCTGAGACGAATGACCCATAGTCTTCCCAAGGCAAAAATCCCAGGACAGTTATCTGAGACGTTTCACAAAAGTCCTAAACCGTAGGGCCTAAACACGGCGGGGACCCTAAACCGTAGCGGCTAAACCGCTGGGGCATCCTTGTTTTTGCCTTGCAAAATGGAAACCAGCATGATCAACTAGCATCCTTCTTTTTGCCTTGTCAGATGGAAACCGTAGGCCGCTAAACACTGGGGGCCCTGGCCCTAAACCCCAGGCCCCTAAACACTGGAGCCTTAAACCCGAGGCTGCTAAACACTGGAAGCCAGGGAGGGGAGGGGAGGAGAGGGGAGGGGAGGGGAGGGGCGGGGAGGGGAAGGGGGTAGGGGAGGGGAGGGGAGGGGAGGCGAGGGGAGGCGAGGGGAGGAGGGGAGGCGAGGGGAGGGGAGGGGAGGGGGAGGGGAGGGTAGGGGAGGGGAAAGGAGGGGAGGGGGGGGGCAGGGGAGGGGAGGGGAGGGGAGGGGAGGGGAGGGGAGGGAGCGGGAGGGGGGGAGGGGGAGGGGGGGAGGGGGGGGAGGGGCGGGGAGGGAAGGGGAGGGGAGGGGAGGGGAGGGGAGTGGGGGGGGAGGGGAGGGGAGGGGAGGTCCTAAACCGTAGGGCCTAAACACGGCGGGGACCCTAAACCGTAGCGGCTAAACACGGCGGAGGCCCTAAACCGTAGCGGCTAAACACGGCGGGGGCCCTAAACCGCTGGGGCTAAACACGGCGGGGCATCAACTGGCCACGAGTTTTGATCAACTGGGGCCCTAAACCGTAGCGGCTAAACACGGCGGGGGCCCTAAACCGCTGGGGCTAAACACGGCGGGGCATCAACTGGCCACGAGTTTTGATCAACTGGCCCGGGGGGGAGGGGAGGAGAAGGGAGGGTCCTAAACCGTAGGGCCTAAACACGGCGGGGACCCTAAACCGTAGCGGCTAAACACGGCCCTAAACCGCTGGGGCTAAACACGGCGGGGCATCAACTGGCCACGAGTTTTGATCAACTGGCCACGAGTTTTGATCAACTGGCCACGAGTTTTGATCAACTGGCCACGAGTTTTGATCAACCGCCACGAGTTTTGGCCAAAAATCCTAAACACGGCTAAACCGTAGGGCCTAAACACGGCGGGGACCCTAAACCGTAGCGGCTAAACACGGCGGGGGCCCTAAACCGTAGCGGCTAAACACGGCGGGGGCCCTAAACCGCTGGGGCTAAACACGGCGGGGCATCAACTGGCCACGAGTTTTGATCAACTGGCCACGAGTTTTGATCAACTGGCCACGAGTTTTGATCAACTGGCCACGAGTTTTGATCAACCGCCACGAGTTTTGGCCAAAAATCCTAAACACGGCTAAACCGTAGGGCCTAAACACGGCGGGGACCCTAAACCGTAGCGGCTAAACACGGCGGGGGCCCTAAACCGTAGCGGCTAAACACGGCGGGGGCCCTAAACCGCTGGGGCTAAACACGGCGGGGCATCAACTGGCCACGAGTTTTGATCAACTGGCCACGAGTTTTGATCAACTGGCCACGAGTTTTGATCAACTGGCCACGAGTTTTGATCAACGAAATTTTGGTCATTAGGGTTTAAATATACATATGTAAATATGTTTAGGGTTTTGGGTTTAGGGTTTAGGGATTTGGGTTTAGGGTTTAGGGTTTAGGGTTTTGGGTTTAGGGTTTAGGGATTTGGGTTTAGGGTTTAGGGTTTAGGGAATTGGGTTTAGGGTTTAGGGTTTAGGGATTTGGGTTTAGGGTTTAGGGTTTAGGGTTTAGGGATTTGGGTTTAGGGTTTAGGGTTTAGGGTTTGCCGTAGAGTAGCGCGTAGGCGAAAGTAATTTGCGACAAGGTCGTGTCAAGTGCGTTGTACTACTGCGAGTAGCTGCGAAAGCCTGATCATGGAAGGCTTTTCTTTTCTTCCTATCCCACCCCACGCCGTATGAGGCGGCCAAGCCACCCAAACCTATTCCTTTTAGGGTTTAGACCTAAACTCAGTTAGGTCCCTCTTGGCCTCAATCTTCCCCCTTCTGACCATCAAACTTCTGAGGGCCAGGGCAGGGCAGGGCAGGGCAGGGCAGGGCAGGGCAGGGCAGGGCAGGGCAGGGCAGGGCAGGGCAGGGCAGGGCAGGGCAGGCAGAGCAGGGCAGGGCAGTACTGGTCCCGAGGAGAACGTGTTCCGGTACCGGGTACGACGTGGGTGCTACGGTCCCCATGGCTGTGGAGAGGCGGGCAGGCGTCTTGGGTCGCTCTGCGCCATCGAGGTCGAGGGGCTTAAGCGCCGCCCACCCACAGTAGGTGGGCGGCCTATGCCTTGAGTTTAGGGTCTTGGGTTTAGGGTTTAGGGATTTGGGTTTAGGGTTTAGGGTTTAGGGTCGCATTGCCGACTGAGAGGCTCGGACTCGTAGCAAAGACAGCAAAGACGACTATATCTCCCGGGATCCGAGTGGTAGAGAGTCGCGATTTTAATTGGGATAGGGCCTCAATATTTAGATTGGGCGCGTTTGGGGTTCTGTATACTGTGCTTATAACAAAGACCCATAAGGAATGGCAATAACTACTATTTCTTCAGGCTTGCGCGTTGTTGGAACCTACCTGGCTTGTTCGGCCAATAGGTGGAGAATAGGAAAGTGGCAACAACTAGCCGTGTCAGCAACGACCAAGCATCATCTGCGAGAGTACTAACCATAAGCATGCGAAGACAGCTAACAACGGCAAACATTAGACAGGAACAAATCGGGGCATGGGCAAAAGATGGCAAAAGCCGAAACTTGAAATTCTGAACCTTCAAACCTGCACTCGAGACCCTGAACCCCGAATTCTAAACTGCTCAGAACAGCAATGGGACACGTCAAGAGTGCCGATAGTGAGACCCTCACAGTCGGCAATCCCGCCCCAAGACTGTTAACCCCGAAGCTCTAAGCACAAAGCCGCAGACTCTAAATCAAAAGTCCATACCCCGAACAATAGGATCGATAGTATAAGGACCCCCAAGCCTGATCAACAACCCGCCCGCCCTACACTACTGCGATTGCAGTAAGGGTCCAAATACTAAGGCGTTTAATGTACGAGAGTTCATAATTCACTGTCTACCAAGAGTCTCCATTCTAGTTCCTCTTTCTGGTGTAACCAGCTGTATAATTAATTGGGATCCTAGAAAGTAACCCACAAACAGAACTACAGTGGACTCTACAGGTTGGGTACTGCCCCCATACAGTAACAGTCTATAATAGTGCTACGATTAAGGCCCTAACATATCTATGTCATGACTATTATTCAACTGCTACTGAGTCGGGGCAGTACCTAAACTACAGGTACAGTAGAAGCCAGAAAGTTGGAATATCATTATCGTAACCCCTTTAAGGTAAATTATAGGGGATCCTACCATTAATCCATATTCCAACTTTCTGGAGTTCCCTTTAAGTTGAGAGCCCGAGGATCCTTTCTCGCTGGTCTTGGCTTGGACCGCTCTGGCAGTGATGATGGGCGGAGCTTTCACGGGCGCAGGCCTCTGCCTTCGTGGATGGTTGCAAATAACTTTGGGAAACACGAATCATCACCACACCGATGCTCCTGATAGAAATCAACTGGATTATCAAGCATAGCAAACAGTAACGATAAGACAGATTCTCACAGGCAAATCAGTCTTGACAGAACTGTTAAGGCTTCATTAGAATCAAGACTGATGTCATATCATTACTATGGTCAGCATGAGTATCAGAAATAGTAACAACACTAACATTGACACCAATACTCATGGTAATAACAAAGTCATGATTCGTATGACTGTGCAAATATTAACATCGAGACAAACATTCAATCTGTAATCACACATTGATATTGATATTCATGCGATTGCTATCACTGAGATTGATGTTGATATTGCGCTTAGTTGTCCAGTAATTATTCCTGTTGAAACTCTCATATTGAGATCATGCTTGTGGTAATCATATTCACCTGACAGTTCAAAACCGTAAGCATCGTGGTATGCATCGTAGCAATACGAGATTTTGATTTCTGATACCGTGCCCAGGGTCCATGGTGTTAAAGTGTTGTCTTAGGTTTGGGGTATGAGGCTGAAGTTAGATCGAATCAGCCGGTGCCGCAATTCGCTTGTTGGTGCATCTAGTCAACACACGTAACGATCGAGGGCCGCAAGTTCATGGTTGTGGCTTGCTGCATCGTATACGGATTGGGGCGGTTGAGGGGTTTAAGGCTTCAGGGTTTAGCGGTTTAGCGCTTTGTACATGGCCGAAACTGGAGTAGCCAGAGTCTTGCATGATCAGCATTCTAACGAGAAACGAGGTTGTTTGTTCTCTTTGGGATCTTTCGGGGACGCCTGCATGCTCAATGACCCCTTAACTTTAGCTGGAAGGTCTGGGAGCATTAGGAAAGCAAGTAAGTGGGCCTTTGCAAATGTGTAGAGTCCTACCTGGACCCCACAGGACCCACCTTTGTAGGGATCTCTGTGATCATTTTCTTGCATGAGTCCTGAAAGCGGTAAGTGATTTCAGGTCCAAGTAAACTGGAGGGTCCGTGTCAAATTGGCACCGGCAGCCGGCAGATGGACGGACTAAAGGATCAACAAACCTAATGCAGGGGCCTCACTAATTACCTATACTATCCCGGGGGCTCCTCATAAAAAAATTGCAGCATAATGGGCCCCAAAACCCTATTCTAATTATTGAGGCCCCTTTATTACAGATCTGTCCAAGGTGCACGGTGGCATTTCCCAAGGAAGCCTGTCCCGAGATGCTGATGTTCTCGAAACCTGCAGCAACAGTAACGGACACGTGGATGTCCAAGCTGGTTTCTACATATAGGACATTAGAACATACATAAACAAAAAGACTGATACACAGCGGAGGGAGGGATAGAGAGACAGAGAGAGAGAGAGAGAGACAGACAGGGAGACAGAGCGAGAGATGAAAACAGAGAGAGTGTGTGCATACAAAGTAAAGGCTCAGGGTCTCGCTCTCTCTCTCTCTCTCTCTCTCTCTCTCGCTCGCTCTCTATCCCATATCTTATCTGTCTGTCTGATTTGTCTGTCGATCTGACTGTCTACTGTCTTGACTACTTGATATCTATGCAGACATCGTTTATGCTAAAAAACAAAGAAAGCAGCAGGAACCACGAATAAACAAAGTGGATCCCGAAAGGGAACACTTGCTGTTAGTCCAAGACACAGCAGCGGCTGGCGATCTCCAGCCTCTCAGTGGTAACCCTAAGGGTCTAGGGTTTAGGGGTTTAGAGTTTAGGTCGCCAGTTTATGGCTTAGAAGTTTGGGGTTTAGGGTCGAAAGGACCGCACACTAGGGTAGTTGCATTGGGTGTAGGACAGTAGTAACGTAGGCTATTGGGGGGGAGTTATAGCTCACATTGAAAAGATGGCTTTGTAGTGCATTTGCTGTAGCCGTTTTGTTTCCAGCAGCGAAATCGCAGTTATTGCTGCAAAACTATGCGTGGCCTTCTGGAGCTGCGCCGGCAACACTGCTACAGCCCTACATCCGCGATATCCCACGGTGAGTCCATGCAGTGTGTAGTCGCCATGGCGTGTGTGTCCGGCGGTATGCACCAGCCCCGCTGGTGTCAGGAATGTCTTTCCGCAAAGGTCCGTCGGTCCATGTAGTATATAAATCGACCTTAAAAACACTTGAACAAACACAGCCCGATAAGTACATCTGATATAACATGTACATGGGCACTTCGGGCTACAGTATCCCCAGTTTCAAAGCCTGAAGAAGCACCGAGAGGGCGAAGGGTGCACATTATTCTACACATCAGGCAAGCTAGACACTCTCAGACAACGTAAACAAACATCATTAACATTGAATCTGAAGGAACTTGTAAACAATTAGCATACCCTAAACCATGTTAAAGCTGAATAGAAACCTACAAGACTCTAACAACAACAAGAACAACAACAACAACAACAACAACAACAACAACAACAACAACAACAACAACAACAACAACAACAATAGGTGCACGTGCACTCCGAACTGCGTAAACCCCAGACGCGAAACTCGAAAGCCATATCGATCATAACAGATGAACCCTAAAACCCCCCTTGGCCCTACCCTGCACTCAAAGAAACAAGATCCGGCCAAGCGACTCCTCTATGGAATGGCAGAAAGGGCAAGCCTTGTTAGGACAGTCGATGCCATCCTTGGGAAAAGTTGAGGAGTTTTGGCTTCTTCAGAGTTTAGCGTTTTGGAGTACCTTTTAGCTTACCCATAGGCCCCAAAGTAGTTCCTTTTTGGGATTACCTTACAGGGTTCTATATATGAAACCCCAAAAAGGAACTACCTTGGGGCCTCAGGGTAAGCAAAGAAATTTCGGCGCATCATCGGTTGCAGCTCCCAGGTTGAGGGGAGATGTCTTTCAATGGGGCCTAATTTAGCGGTCTTGATAATTAGAATAGGGTTTGGGGGCCCATTATACTATAACTTTAATAAGGAACCCCACCATAATATTGGTAATATTCAGGCCCCTATATTATACTTCGCCCGGCAATTTACTCTGATCTTCAAGGAACAATGCACCAAGAGAGCCAGGCACACCATGACGCTACTTGGAGGTTCATGGGTAGCTATAAGTGGGGTTGTAAGTAGGGTAGCTAGACTTATAACTCCTATTGCGAGACCTATAACCCTACTTACAACTACCCCTAAACCCTAAACCCTATACTCTTTCTAGAAGGCCTATAGATCCCTTTAAAGGGACCCTTAAAGGACCCTACTTCTTACTACCCATGAACCTCCAAGTAGACTCCATTTCACCGACCGTGAGAGGCTGAAAGCCCTCCCAAAGGGTCCTAGGCACTGTTGTGGGGGATACTTCCCCAAATCAAAAACCCAAAGAGCCCAATACCCCTTAATTAAGGAATATGGCTTAAATCATAGTATGAAGCCCTATATATTTTTAGCCATACTCCTTAACTAAGGGGTATTGGGCTCTCTGGGTTGTATGTTCTAATATCGAGACCCTAGATTCTACTATACAGGTACTTTGGACCCTCTGGGCCTGGATCTACTGTCCCCTTTGAGGGTTCCGTTTATCCATGTCCTGCTATAGGTCCTTAATACAGGAGGCTATTTGGGTTGAGGTATCGACCGACTCGCAACTTCGCTCAAGCGGCCGCGAACCAGAGACCCCATGCCACCGCTCCCCCCCCCCACCGAAATTCCGGCCTTCGTGTTTTTGCACATCATCGCATGCTTCAGCTCCTGTGAGGGATCCACAGTCACTCTAAGCCCTCAGTACCGTCGGCTACAGAGCTTGCTTAGGGCCAAGGTCCAGATTTGTGTTTTTTGGCGCTGTCGGTTTATTCGGGAGTGGGTAAGCTTGAAAGCTTCCGCGTCGTACTTATTGCTGGGTTGACCATGGAGGATAGGCTGCTGCAGTCTCCAGGCTGTTTTGGCAATTCCACAGATGTCAACATTCTCTACTTACTTGAAGACAAGCATAGCTTCAACGACTTTGTAAGTGCCTGGACACCGTTGTACCCGTAGAGTACTTGCTAAGTTATGGTGGCAGCAACAATGGCGGTAGCAATAGTAATAGTCGCGGTCGTCGTCATCGTCACACTACTAGCCTCTACTAGCGTGCTAGTACTAGCACCAGTGCTAATGCCAGCACTAGCAATGGTAAGAGCAACAGCAAAGACCATATTAATAACAACAGCAATAGCAGTAGCAATAGGAGCAGGAGGAGGAGGGCAGGAGCACCTGGAGCAGCACTGCTAGTGGTCATGGTCGTCGTCTTTCATGGTGTACATCATCGTGAAATGCCCCCGGCACAAGTGGGTCAGCAACTCCTGACACCATACAGGGAACTCCAGAAAGTTGGAATATGGCTTCTTGGTAGGATACCCTAGAATTTACCATAGAAGGGTTAGGATAATCATATTCCAAATTTCTGGCTTTTACCTTACATGAACGACGCCCGAGAATCTAAACGCTACGGCGAAAGTTAAAGGCCCCTGGATGACTCTAGCCAGGCCACTGGAGGAACTGTTCGCCTCTGCTTGTAGTGCCTTCGTGGGTCTGAGGATTATTAATGGTTCTTGAAGGGCTTGATTTCGTGCTTATCATATGTATATATATATATATATATATATGGATATCTGTGTATAAATATATATATATATATATATATATATGTATATGGATATCTGTGTATATATATATATAGATATAAATGCTGCATTACCTTAAGGATCCTAAACTATGGGAATTATGGTATATTCCTTATGATCCACAAAGGATAAAACCTGGTTGGATAAGATGGTTGCACTGTGCAGCCGGAGCCCTGGGCCTAGAATCCCAAAGCGCTGAAGTGTGCATCTTCGTGAACCATCTGGCAGCCAGCCCTAAGGAGAAGAAGGGTAGGTACCTAGAGGCTCATACCCTACCCCTTTTTTAGGATGCCTAGTTTTATGGTTAGGATCTGTAATCTTCAAAAGCAGGCGCCCTGAAAAAGGGGTAGTGTATGAGTCTGCAGGTATACCAGGACCCCCAATGGCCCTGTCATGGAGCCCTTCTGGTCCCGAATACCGGGTATTTAGGGTATACCAGAGGTTAGAAGCCCTTCTGGTCCTTCATACTGGGTATTTAGGGCAACTTAGAGGGTACTTCGGGGGTCTAAGTAGTTCAAGACGATGAAGGCCATGGGAGACATGATGAAAGGCCAACTCCCGTAACCTTCGGAGGCCTCCCCATAGGCCCATAGTAGCTGGCTGCGGTGCTACTGGTGCAACGGCTTCGGGACTCAAGGCTTCCTGATTTGCCAAGCGCACTACCGTGCAAGGCCCCAAGTGCTAAGACCAGAAACCCGACTCTTACAGCCCAGACATGCTCCAAGATCCTTAATTAAGTCTAAACCATGAAATCCAAGCCCTCCCTACCAAACACCCTCTTCATAAATGAACAGCCAAGCCAAAGCGCAGCTCCAGCTCGACCTCGCGCAAGGTCTTCCGGATCGTGGCCTTGCAGAGTTTAAAGGAATTCGTCGCATGTATCAAGGAGGAATATTTGGATGTGTATATAAAAAATACATACATACATACATACACATGGTATAGGGTGTTTTTAAGGTGGTGTTGCATCAATCTGAAGTTAGGGCAAGCGTGTTAACATGAGGTATACGACACTCAAGTTTTCAGAGATTGGCATGGAGGGTGCGCCATTGTAACCGTCAGCGGTGTTGGGGCTGGCCCGACGATGCATCCTGGCTGTCGAAGAACTGAGAAGTTGGTGTGTGGATATACCGTTTCGACTTCGGTCCAACCTGAATGGTGGTTAAGGGCTGCCACGTACTGACATGGTGCCATGTCGATGCACGAAGAATGATTGTCCCCCCCAAAAGCACAGACACTTCCCTAACCCTCGGCCTGATAGAATTGCCTCAGGCGGACCAACTCATGCATCCTCGTCCTAAACCAACTTCTAAATCCTGATCAGAGCCTACCCATAGGCCCCAAAGTAGTTCCCTTTTGGGAATACCCTATAGGATTCTAAATATGAACCCCAAACAAGGAACTACTTTGGGGCCTTGGTACCGACTTCGAGGCTTCCAAGAACAAATCCTTGTTTCATTCCCCCTTGGCGTAAACCAGATAGCTGAAGGACTTTGAAGGAATACTCCCGAAGGCTCTATAAGGCTCATCAACTAATCATGAGGGCCTTATTAGTCTGATTATTCAGAGAGTTGGGTTTTTTGGTAAACTTAATATACTTCTCAGAAGCAATGCTGAGGAGGGGTACATGGCGCTGGCTTCTACATCAATCCTACGTTTCAAAGTCTCAGCTCCTGGTACCCTGAACGCGATACCCCAAAACCCTGAACCCCACCAGAACCCCCCAAGTGCCCTTCAATAGAGCCCTTATGGTCCTTGATTGTCCTGAATAGTGGGCATTTAGGGTATAGTACAGGGTTGTTGGGAGGTCTATAAGGCAAACCCCCGAGTTTAGCTCCTAAACCCTCCGGGGAACCTCCGCAGTGGAGACGTGGGCGACCTGACCAGGGCCGATACTGACCTGCGCATGCTTTTGCTTCTTGGTACTGTAGAGTCTTTAATAATTAGAATAGGGTTCCTTTAAAGGGATCCTTCAAGGGGTCTATAAGGCATCTATACTGTCGGGGCCTTAATGATTAGAATAGGGCTCTGGGGTAAAGTATACTACAAAGACTATAATTCCAATAAGGAGCGCCCAAAATAGTATTGGTACAGTACTTATTTAGGCCCTATATACTATCCCTAAACCCAGCATCCCGAAACCAGAACCTCAAAGGTTAGGGGTCTGGTTTCGGGGTTCTGGTCCTTCAATGTTTATAGAGTGGGGGCTTTAGGATGCAGTGGAAGACAGTTCTAGTTCATTGTTGGGATAGGATCAACAACGTATATTTTTATTCCTTATTGGGTTTAAGTACCTATAAAACTGTAAACTGCTAAACAACTATGACAAAGAGTTCTTCCACATCTAGCTCGGCTGACCACAGTCTTGCGCTTGAGTTCAGCGGTTTGGGTCCAATGCAAGGCATCACTGCGTCGCTCATGGCAGCCAACAGAATTTCAATCCCGTAACGGTCAGCCTTCCCTACTTCTGCTACATGCACCGTGAACTGCGGTTGAACACAAAACTCATAGTGACCCCATACTTTACAAGCCCTTTCCACCTTGAAGGGAGCGCCCAGAGTCTCTGGAGGTATCAGCCTCGATGGTGGAGTCTAGGGTTCAGGAGTTTAGGTGTCGGGCCCGGTGCTGAAGCAGGAGGTTGATGAAGTCTTTAGATTAATACGGGTTGGGGATACAGTAGGGTGCAACAGATTCGGGTTAAAAGACAGGGTCACAGGACGGGCACCGAGAATTGACGATTTGTCTTCAGCATCCAACAGAAAGACAAGTTAGGCTTCAGCATTGATAGCCCTGAAATCCTAAAGGTCCATCCAGAGGCCTGACAAACCAATCAGCAAATTGACGCTAAACACTTCCGAGGTACTTGATCGACAGACCAGCCACCTTGTTCTTGAAGTCCTGGCGGTACATACATGGCGTCTACTTTGCCACATGAGAATCGCGACAATAGCTAATATCAAAGGGGAACGGAGGGACACTTAATGGGGACCCCTACCCTTTAATGGGCTATATAATGGGCATATAATAGGAATATTAAGGGTATATACGCAGGGGTCCTTATTAAGGGTGCCTCCGTTTACCCTTGGAATTATAGAATTATAGAAGTCGTTAACTCCTGCCTTGAGAACGAAAAGAAACTTCGTTCGGACAGGTGCCAGCTGCTGAAGACATTTACCGGGCACACTATCTAGTGTTACAGAACCATGTACCCTATACTATACACCCTACAAGCCCTGTCAGCCCCATAATAAGCCCTATATAACCCCAGTACAGCAACCCAACACCCTATAAGCCCTAAACCCTGAACCCTGAGCCCAGAGCCTGCAAGCTCTACAAGCCCACCAAGGCTTCCGCTTCGAAGAGCCTGACAAAACATCCCAGCCCAAAGCCGTCCTTCATGGCTTCATCCATTGCATAGAAGGCACTCCTTGGGGGTTTGGGGCTATTTTGGGTTTAGGAGTCTGTACAGTTTAGGGCTTGGAGATTTAGCCGGAACAGCTTAGGTTACCGGTTAATTAGCGAATGTCTACCTTCGGCTGCGGCTTTCAAACCGCAGGTTGAACCCAACGCTGGTACTCCCAACCTTCTTTGGCTTGGTTTACAGAGTGCGCAGAGATGTTTTGGCTAATGTGTGAGGTGCGTGTGTGTGCGTGTTTGTCTTGCCTTTTGTTTGTGTGGGTTTGTGTTTGCTTGTTCTCGTGTGTGTGTGTGTGTGTGTGTGTGTGTGTGTGTGTTTGCTTGTTCTCGTGTGTGTGTGTGTGTGTGTGTGTGTGTGTGTGTGTGCGTGTGTGTGTGTGTGTATTGGGGTTGGTTGTCTGTTTGCTTGTTTGCTTGTTTGTGTGTTTGCTTGTTTTTGTGCTTGCTTGCTTGCTTGCTTGCTTGCTTGAATTGTTGTTTGCATGATTGTTTCTTTGCTTGTTTGCGTTGTTTTGTGTGTGTGTGTGTGTTGTGTGCGTGGCGGGGAAGACACCCAAACCGCAACCAATATGAAACCATGGCTTCAACAACAACTTCTGCTTCTCATGCGACTGGGCCGGCGACGTGGCAGGGATGATTGCGTCGTCGAATATTCAGCTGCCCGCCGGCCCGAAAATGACCGATGTATATGGACTTCGGATAGTTGTGCTTCTGGGTTGGTCGGTTAGTCTGCAAGGCAATATGCGGTTCGCAAATACTCGCCCCTGTCTTCCGAGCGGCGAATGATGCGTGTGGAGCTCGATCGTTTTCCTCAGTACAGTATATTTGGGTTAGGTCAGGGTTCAAGGCTCATAGAAAACCCTAGCAAAGCCTCCCCCAAACCCGTCATAGGTACAACTTTCGGTTCATCCGGGCGCTAAAGCCTAAACCCTAAACCCAATCAGTTTCTGGCACTAAGCTCCAAAGCCCCGGAAGCCTCTCCATCTTGGTTCTGCTCTGCACACGCCTAAAGATCTCGCTCGTCGCTTCTAAACCTAATACAGGGGCCTGAGCAATTAGATTAGGCTTTTGGGCCCAAAATGGTATAGGTAATTACTTTGGCCCCTATAGTACCCTGTCTTCGATCGCGTTGACAAGCAGTTGTCCGTAGATTGCCAACTAGCATGCCACGTCTATGTGTCGTCCGAGCAAGATTGAAGTCTGGTCCTGTAAAGCTGCGGAACACCCCTTAGACTTCTGACGGCCATAAATGAGGAGCCATGCGCTTGATGTGCCGTAGAGGTCAAAACGCCGGGAGACCAACAACCGGAAACCCTAAACACAGCTAAGCACACCACCCAGGCTGGCACCTAGCAAGCACACAGACACTGAAACTTCGAAAGGGGGGATCCTGCTGCTGATGGACACTGCCTGCTTGAAGAACATCTTCACACTTCCCTAAACCCTAGGTAATTATGGAGTTTCTTCTACGGTACTTGACTCGAGACTTATAATCACACTCAATTTGTGCCATCAACAACCTTGCTGTGCTTTTGGCCCAGGCTCGTGATGTTTGGTCCAGTGGTGAGCCCGCAGGATTTCTGCACCAGTTCTCTCGCTTGTTGCGTGGCCTGCGCGATGCCATCAGCGACCAGATGAGGTTTCTTCTTGGTCCCTGCCTTTATTAGGGGTTTGGCCATAACACCCTACGCCTCAAAACTAGCCCAAACACGTGTTTTAGTATGGACTTTGTTCCCAACAGCCTCAACATACTTGTCCTTAGAGCCTTAGGGATAAGGAGCCTACCACTTCGGACCTACCCTTGTCTCAGACACGTGGATCTAGATCCATTTGGGTTCTGAAGCGCTCCGCAAACCGTCCACCTAAAAGGCCAAGAGAACCAAAGGCATAGCACGGAGCAGGGTTTCAAGTTCCAAGATTAGGAGTTACGAATCTGTTGTAGGGTTACCGGTTCAGGGTCATGCTGCTTTTATAATTTATAATTAGACAACTGGGCATGATATTTATGAACAGCGTACGTGGGATCCTACGGGTCAGGACTTGAGGCTTTAGGGGGTGGAAGCCTCCAGTGAAAGTCTGAGCTGCGGTGCTGCAACGTGAAGTTTGGGGCATATATGGGGTCTACTTGGAGGTTCATGGGTAGTTATAAGTGGGGTTACAAGTAAGGTAACTAGACTTATAATTCATACTAGGGGACTTATAGCCCTACTTATAACAACCCCATGAACCCTAAACCCTATACCCTTATAGAATCCCTATAGTTCCCTTTAAAGGGGCCCTTAAAGGACCCGAATCACAACTACCCATGAACCTCCAAGTAGGGTTCAGGGTTTAGGGATGAGGGTTCAGCAGAGGGTGCAAGGTTTCGGGTCGGGGCTTATAGGGCTCATGGACCCTTACAAGGGTCCATGTGCCCAAGCTAGTGAGTGGGTGTATATACATATTAATTAATGTTTACATATTTCTATATATATATATATATGTATATATATATATATATATATGTATGTATATATATATATATGTATATATACACGTTAAAGTAGTCCCTATAGGTACTTAGAGGCCAAAGTACATACTGTTTGGGCACATGGACCCTGGGTAAGCCGTTTCTTTCCACATTGTAGTGACGTCCTGTTCCCAAACTCCAAGAAATCAGTCCTGCAAGAGCTGATACCAAGGGTGATGCAATGTTCCAGAGGCCCCATTTCTGAACATCGAGCCCCAAAACCACAAGCACGCCTGTCCTCACGCAACGTAAACACTTACAGTACAACAACTTCTAAGCCACATTAACCCAAACCCTGAACAATTCGCTAAATCCCAAGGATCCAGAACTCTCCCTTAACCCTAAACCCCTCTGTTGCAGGATCCCGAACTACCTGTAGTCTCCCTCGTAGTTCCTGTCTGGGATTACTTTTTGGGCGATCCCAAATATAGAACTGATTAACCTACATAAGGAACTACAAAGAAGACTACCGGCAGTATGCCAGAAGATGTCCAAATATATATATCCCAAACCCATTAACTTCAGAGCTTCCGGAAACTTGAAAGACCTCACCTTGCCCCAAGGGTCCAAGTACTTCATAATCACACGCTCTCTAACAGCCTAACCTACATAACTTCCCCGAGGCCCCAAAGTAGTTCCTTTTGGGACGGCCTTATAAGATTCTATACATGAACTCCAAAAAGGAACTACTTTGGGGCCTATGGGTACTATCCGACCTCGTAGAGCCGAGTACCTAAAAATTTGGGTCCTTTGGGCCCGTGGGGTTGTTTTGGAGGACCCCAAACTACCTATAGTCTCCATTGTAGTTCCTTTTTGGGGTTACCTTTTAGGGTCCCTAGTATAAAATAGGTTGAACCCCAAAAAGGAACTACAATGAAGACTTAAGCCTTAAAGGGTTCCCTATATAGGTACTTTAAGGCCTAAGTATATACTATAAGGGTACATGGAGCCTTAGGGTAGCATACATCCTGCTCAGGTCTGCCTGGTTGGGGCCGGAGAAGAGAACCAAGCTGTATCCCAAGTTCCTGTTTCCGGCGCTTTGGGGTTTACTTGGAGGATCATGGGACTTAGTAGGGAAGGTCGGTTATAAGTTCCTTAATTGGGGTATTGGGGTTATAAGTAGTTAAAAGTATAGTTACCCTAATTCCAACCCAAGTTCTTGTTTCCGGCGCTTTGGGGTTTAGAGGCTGAGCGTCTGGGGTTTACTTATACTTACTTGTCCAGTACCCCGGGGTATCTGAAGGTGAGCCTTCGGGAATACCAAGTGATAGTACGCCCAAAAATGCTAAAGGTTATGTAAAGGTGACGCTGTTCTTGTACTCGGCGAACTCCCACTCGTAGGTTATGTAAAGGTTACCGTACTCTAAGCTTTCGATTGAGGGTTGCAGGAACAGGTGTAGTCCGAGCCAGGCCGTCGGTCTAGGCATGGATCAAAGTTTTGCATTCAATGTTTCGGGATTAGGGGCCTGAAGCAAGCAGGAGTTTACCCGAGCTTCTACTGGGCAAGTGCCTACTGTGAATATGGTGATTATGATTGCCACTTTGGGGCATCAGATACATGCTCACGAGAAGGGCGGCTGGCGTGGCTTCCATGAGTAGCTCTCCGACGATGATCGGTCCCTGGATTACGGCTTCTGAGTTAGCATCTTTCGGTCCTTGTCGTGAGTTCGCTGAACTCCCACCTGCACCTCTCCTACAAGCAGAAATTTAGAAGGCATACATCCGCAGCACTCTCGCTCTCATGAAGCTGAAAGCCACAGCAGGCTTGTCTGTTGGGCTTGGGCTTTTGTGCTCGGTGTTTACTACCTGGAATCACTTAGCTGAAGTGAGCGATGCTGAGCAACTTGCTCAGGTCAGGCCACTGCATTGCACTGAACACAACCTAACCGACTAACAACACAATCCCTAAGGGTCCATGTACCTAAATAGTATGAACATGGGCCTTAAAGTACACATTGGGCCCAAAGTATATACTATTTGTGTACATGGACCCTTAGAAAACAGTTCTGGGTCACGACATGTAGGGTTTAGGGTTTAGGGTTTAGGGGTTTAGGGGTTTAGGGTTTTGGGTTTAGGGCTTAGCTCAGCCCTGGCCTCGTATCTTGTCGGAGGATGATGCTGGCCCCGGAATCCCCAGAGATTCTCCTCGGAAGCGTCGTAGTCCTACAGTAGAAGCCAGAAACTTGGAATATCATTATCGTAACCCCTATAAGGAAAATCATGGGGGATCCTACCATGAATCCATGTTCCAACTTTCTGGAGTTCCCTTTACTTGTCGGGAATCATGGGGAACTAAAGGTTATAGTGAACCCCAGGAAGTTGGAACATGGATTTAGGATGATGGGTGCTAGGATTCCCTCTACTTTACCTTAGGGGCATGAGGATCATAATGTTCCAACTTTCTGGCTTCTACTATAACCTTTTTGGTTATATAGGGATTATTATACAGGGACTATACTACCCAAAAAAGGTTATATCAAGGTTACGTACTCTACTACTAGGTAGTTGTTGTCGACGGGCTGACGGTTCGGAGCGCAGGGCTTGAATTCAGGGTTAAGGGTATGGTGTTTTGTGTTTTTAGTTTTAGGGGACTTGGGATTCCATCTTTCTGCGAAGCTGCTAGAGACGGAGAATCGACAGGTCAGGCATGAAGACGTTCCGTTACATCGGTACACATCCGAAGTGAGCATTCCTCACTTGTCGGCATTTTACGGGGTGTACTCTGACTACCTGTTTAAACCTCGACAATAGTTTCTGCTGTCCTCAACCTTAAACCCCTCATTATGGAACCCTGCCTTGTAACGCCCATACGGAACCGCTGCAGGAAGCGCGTACTAATTGGTATAGAGGTCGGATTGAATAGTAATGGTATTCCTTAACCCCCCCTAAACTTAAGGACGACATTGAAACCCTCATACTACAAAGACTCCCCGGTGCTCAGTAGGGAATGGGGGAATGGATCCCTGTACTCTCATGCATAGCCCGTTCCTCCATTCCCTACTAAGAACCAGACAAGTCATACTACAAAGAGTGGAAAAGGAGTCGTGTGGCTGGATCAAAGATTCCGTCAGCATCGGCACCAGCGATTGAGGGACCTTGCCAGCGTTGAGGCTTTAGGATTCTAGGTTTATAGGGTTTAGGGGTTTACAGGGTTTAGCGTTGAGGCTCTGGGTTTATAGGTGTTATCCCTAAACCTAGCACCCCGAACCCAGAACCCTAATGGTCAAAGTTCTGGTTTCGGCGTTCTGGGTTTTAGGGATTTTAGGTGCTAGAAATGAACTCAAGGTTCGGGGAAACTCCGAAGTTTACCACCCCCCCCCCCACCAAGTAGGCCGTGACTAGAGCACTATTAAGGACCATAAGGCCTCTACTAAAGGTTACTTCGGGGGGGGGGACGCCGGGTACGGGTTCTGAGTTTAGCGGTTTGCTCTTTTGGGGGGCAATTCGAGGGCGTAGGAGTGTCCACGGCTGAAGCCCGCAGCCTCCGAGCGATCTGCCATTCAAAACTTGTAGGCTTCAGGTCTTTGGGGGTCTTACGGGTGTTCGTGGTTTCGGGTTTTCTGGGGGGGGTTTAGGGCATTTAGGCACAAGAGTGTGACTGGAGGGAAGTTAGGTTTGGGGGTGGGTGATCGAGGGTCGTTCTGGATTCGGTTTCCCATCTATCGGGTATACATGATGAGGAAAGAACTCACCGAGAGAGGGTCTAACATAAAGGGCACGCAGCGTGCGGAACAGGCCGAAGACAAGGCATCTGCAGACATTGCAGTGCTTCTGTTGAAACCCCAACGTCACGGGTTTTGATGAGTGCATGAACACAAAGTGCCTCGGACATCGAACTTCGAACACCCGACTATCAACAGATCAACGGTCCCATGTCCAGCACCAGGCCCCATGATATGCCCGACAGATCGAAGTCCTTTCTAGACCCTGCCCTTACCCCTCAATACCCGAAACCCTGAACCCTTAACCCTCCCTCAATCCATCCACATAATCTTCACCCAGAGGCCTCAAGCGGCTTTGCCGCCCCGGATGGTAGCGAGGCACCAGGAAAGACGCCTGCTGGGTTTGCAGTTTAAGTCATGTTTTTCGGCAGGGTTCCCAGCTACGTTTCTTGGGTCTTAAAACGAAGCAGGCCGTACGACCCTGAAACACCTATAGTACGTGGCCCTATGCTGTTCGGGCGTCACATCCTCCTCGAATAGAAATTGTCCCAGAATGGATTCCGAAAATTCCCTCTGATGAACTGAATCGGGAAAGAGCAGGAAAGCATTTTGGGCAGGGCTTGCAAAGCGGTTGGGGTTTCGGGATTTGAGAGCTATATATAAAAGAAATCTGCAGCCTGCCTGAGGGCTTTGGCACCAAATCTGCCAGCCAGTCTGGGACATCGCCTTGTCCACTACGCATCGCATGTTCTGATTTAAGGCTCTTAAGGGATTCTGGTTTGGGCTTGAGGACTTGAAGCCTCTGGGGTTGTGGATCCAAGACTTTAGTGGTGCCCATCCGTTTCACATGGTCCCCCCCCTACATACCCCCAACCCCCACCCCCCCACAGCTCGCGCACTCCATCTGCCTTCACATAGCACTCCTGCGGCCTCGGAATTGGTTTATATACCTGCGCGGCAAGTTCCTCTCAGCGCTCTTAAGGGAGCATGCCAGATTCGTTCGACAGCACACGACCACGTAAATCGAATCCTCCGCCCCAAAGCTGAATACTGACCCTGGTTGAAACCCCGGTCCACAAAAGCAAGCCACTTAAAGGATCATGGGACTTATAGTAACTGGGGATGTAATTAGGGTAACTATACTTATACCTACTTATAACCCCAATTCAGATACTTACTTACTAAGTCCCATGATCCTCCAAGAACGGTCAGAATCCTAGTCCCCTGGACCGAAGCCTTGACCCTCATGACTAAATCCCAACCCCCAGACCCCAACTACGGTTGCTCTGGAAGGCGGTTTACATGGGGGATTTAGGGTGTGCTCAGGGTGTAGGGTTTGTTGGTTTCAAATGTGTGGTATGCCAAGATGCCATCAATCCCAACATCCGAAATCTGAAAGCCGCAACCGTGAGACCTCCAGCCAAACTCCCGCAACCCTGCACTCCAAGCCTGAAGCCGTCCCAGAACATGCATGCAACCTAGATCCTAAACCCGAAAGCAAAACCGCCCTTAAACCGAAACCTCTGACCCTAATTCATGAAAGGCCCTTAAACCCCTGACCCCATTTCGATCCGTAAGCTCAGAGCTGAAGGCGAACGAGTTGCCAGCAGGGCCCCGAGGGGCCGCAAACGCCACAGGTGCCCCGGGCACTGCCAGGGCAACGCGCGCATCCCGAGAGCGGCTACGCTCTCGGGCCCTCACAGAGATCTCTGAAAAGGGTTCCTTTAGGGTTTGGGGTTTAGGGGTTGAGGGTTTAGGGGTTCAGGGTATTAGGGTTTAGGCGCATAGGACTTGGTGGTATAAAGCTGCACTAGACAAGACAAGTTTGGTTTTAAGCACCTCGAAGGCCAATTTCAAGGCTTTCCAGGACAGGTACAATTTTGGTCTAAAGCACACAATCTGCAACCTCAAACCCCATAAGTCCTAATTACAGTTAAGCCCTATAGAACCCCTATCAGCCCCTATCCTTAAACACAAGGACAAGACATTTGAGGTCGGTGACGACGCCGTGAAGAAAGAAATGCTTCGGGAAGTGGGGATAGTTTGAGAATCGCAGGAAAGGCAACAACAAACGACAGTAACAATGCTCATAGCTGATCATAATCATCACCAAAATCAGCATGATCATCATCATGTTCATCGTGATCAACAGCATCACCATCATCATCATGATCATCGTCACAACCATCTTCACCATAGTAATCATAGTTATCACAATAATAACGATAAGAACAAAAATCGGTTGAGGGTTCAAGTTCACAGCCAAGGCACATCACGCAAGGCGTTGCGGCAGTGGGCCCATGCCGGCTTGCGGAGAAAACTTTGGAAGTGTCCGACGGTGAGATTCAAGGTTGACGGGTTAGGGTGAATTAACGGGCCGAGGCTAAGGGTTTGGGTTCCAGTCCCAGGTCTTGCCTCATTGGCACCCTATGACTGACAGGGCTTCTGCGTTGAGGGGGTGGATTGGGTGGGCGCTGCACTGTTCGCCCCATAAGCTGATCAACATAAAGTTGCAGGCGCTACGGGCCGTCAGAAGCCCTGAGTGCTGGATCTTTAGAGTGTGGGACTCACATCTTCATCCATTCGGCTTGAGGACCTGAAAGATCGAGTTGGTGCTGGATGTCGGGCCGGGGGGCTTTAGGAATAACCTCTAGTCTCCATTGTAGTTCCTTTTTTTGGTTAACCAAAATCTCTATTATAGGATCCTAACCATAAGACTGGTCAACAAAGAAAGGAACTACAATGGAGACTATAGGAAGTATTCCGGTTTTCGGCAGGCCCTAAGTACGCATTGTGGAGAGATCGCGGAACTGAACCGGAGAAGCTGCGGGCGGCGAACATGGGCTTTGAACTGAGCATCGGGGCTGGAGAAGAATCGTAGCCGTGATGATTCGAAGAGAGTATTGGTGCACAAAATAATACAACTATGATCTGTATATGTACATATATATCTTTTTATTACTTATATTACTTATATCTATTTCTTGATTTATCAGGACTATAAGGGGGAGTACCACCAAGTTTTGCGACCTTTCCGTCAGCCACGGCATGCAACTGCGGAACCTCGCGATCGCCAAGGACTTCCCAACACTGCCTAAACTCGAAACTCGGTTGATGATATAATCCTGCATGACCCCTAACAAGGAATACAAAATAATTTCCATAGTTTAGGGTCCATAAGGTAATGCAGGATTTATATTATCAACTGTAAACTCAGACCTGAGACTACAAGATCGAAATTAGAAGGGCTCACACAACTCCAGGGGAATACAAGTGTATCCTACCTTCTGGGTTTCGGGTTTAGGGCTTTTGGCCTCTATGACGAGGCATTTGCACTCGTGCCTGATTCAACTCGGAAAAATACTCCATGTATACTAGCGGACATGCATCGGATTAGAGGGACTTCGCACATCAGAACACTCGGCACCGCACAGTCAGGGGGCAGCTCTGGCCGTGCCTGACAACTATAGCACTTGGCACATGGCTCGAGTTGCCAGACCTTCCACCGAAAGGACGGAACTTGAATCACATCAGGTCTTAACCCGAACCCTAAAATAGACCGCACAACACAAACACCAAGCCCAGTGAGCATACCCCGGACCCCGCAGACTGTGCATAAACGAGTTTGATCTGCAACAGTACCAGACTTCACCGTCCTGGCAGCCGAAGGCCTTGTTGCATCCGAAGTATATACATCATATATATATATATATATATACGCACTAGCCAACCCTACAAGCTGCACTTTCGTACTTGCGGCTCAATGGTCAGTGTTAATGCCATCTTACCGGCACTGTGTGCATGGTTGCGGGGGCGAAGGGGTGGCCTCTTTTGCAATCGATCCCCTGCATTCCAACATTGGTTTAGAGCTTAGGATGTAACCCCGCCCGTCCCATAGCGAGGGTCAGCTTCAGCTTCGGTGAAGTCTGGCTGGGGTTTTCAGGTCCTACAAGAAGATGCTATTGACAAATGTATTATAAAGTCTTAGTATGTTGGTACGATATCATAATGTATCACGGTATTGTACTGTCGTACCCGCCTCACCACTTACCACATGTATACGACAACTCGTCGGACACCCACCTTTCTCGGCACAAACTACCTTCATGAGTGAGCTTCAGGAACTGGCTATGCTGTTCGCCAATGACTTTTCCCTTCTAGTTTCTACAGCATAGTTCGTCCAGACTACTAACAAAGTTCACGCAACCCCAAAAGAGTTTAAGTATCGAACAAGTATGTGCTGCCCTGTTCTAGCCTGCAAGTACCAATGTTCTACACCCAAACGCGTCAACTTGGTCCTTCAGGGTTCCCTCTGCCTGAATGACCACATCAGCCTTAACCGGAGCGCCCTCTAGCCTTAGACAATGAGTTCCGGCTAGATACATGGGCAGTTGTCAAAATTATGGTACTTTTTTTGGGGCACCTTCAATATTAAGTGCCGAAGTATATAAAGAACCCAAAAAGGGATCCTAATTTTGACAACCACCAACATATATTTCAACCTTAAGTCCTTGTGGTGTTCAGGTCGTCCCTTACGGCAACCTAAACGCTGGAAGTCCTACTCAGAAAACATAGGCGAATGCTCAAGCTTTGGCCCCGAACCCTAAAGCCCCAAGCCCCAAACCCTAAACCCTAAATCCTAAATCCCAAACCCTAAACCCTAAAGCCCTAAACCCCAAACCCTATAAACCCTAAAGCCCTAAACCCTGCTGCAAGGGCCTGGGACACTTTAGCCTTCAGGTCGGAGACCTTGTCTGTTGCATTGACCTCGACCTGACACAAGTTCGAAGGGTTTTCGGTATTGGGATCAGGGTTAGGGTGTTGGTTCAAGATGATTTGATTGGCTTGGGCACTTGGTCTTACTGTAAGCTGGGGCTTATCATGAATGAACTGGGTCAATGTTTTGTGTTTATTCGAGCTGCTTGGCTTGGCTTGCGCTCCTGGCAATCATCTGTGTGGAATCAAAATTGAAGGCTGCGGACTTTGGCCTTCGGACCTAAAGAGGGTTTTAGGATTTATCGCATGATTTTGGGATTTCGGGTTGTTAATTAGAGAAACTGGAACTCGGACTCAGGTGTGAGCAGGGTTTCATGATCCTCAGGTCGAAAATGACAGGCTCCTGTCGACATTCTGTATGATCCGGGAAACGAAGCCTTAATGACCATGTTTGTTTGCAATTGCCTACCAATGGAGGTTGGGACTCTCATGCCCTATATACTACGCGTACATGGGACATACCGTTGTGAGATGCTGAAAAGCTTGACGTCTTAGCAAGCGCTCGCTCCAGCCGGCTTTCTCCGCCGTGGCGTTTGCTGAACTCCTCGACGAAGTTCGTAATGCCTTCTGAGGCAATGTTAAAGTAAAGCGAGGGCTCGATCAGCTCTGCCTCCATGAGTGCGTACCCAGGCGGCTCTCGATTCCCCTCGGCTACGGTGAAGTGGGTTGAAGAGCCCTCACGCGCCAAAGGCTCCATGATGCTGTTGGGCAGGACGACCACGTCCATGCGGCTGTAGAGCGGTGGCTGGTCGAGAGGCAAAGCCTGCATGGCCCGAGTTGCGCACTCGCACAGGCCGGACGGAAGTGAGTGAATGTCCACTCTGTGGTGCGCTGCGCCGTAGTCCTCTTGAGATCGATAGTCTCCTGCTTTGGGCAGCTTGTGCATCGCGTAGAACAGGCTGTACTCACCTTCCGACATGATCTCGGCGACAAACGGCTGCACGAGACACGGTACGTCGGAGAACAGCTCATCGATAAATGCAGATTTTGTGCCGAACTCTTTTGTGGCAAGCTGCGTCTCGCGGCCGCGGAGCTCTACCACCGTCGGATCTTCCACAAAGCTGTAGGGCGCCTGGAGCTCCCCACGTTTGATCCGGAAGGTGTCGAAGCTGCTGGCACCCACTGCCGGCTTGATGACCACCTCCTCGAAGGACTCGAGGGAATTTGCGACTGCCACTGAGGGACGGACATCGCCAGGTACAACGAAGGCAGTTGGCAAAATCCTGGGGATCTCGTTAGCTACGAAGGAGCATCGTTTAAGCCTATGATAAGGAACGTGAAGTTTGTTTACTAGATATGTGCCTGGGCTATTGCATTTTAAACAAATTCCTGAGCAAGAACCCAGAATCGGGCATCCATGCTTCGCCATCTCCTTTAAGTAAAGCTTCGAACTGTTCCACTTCATCAGAGCGACACAGTTCTCCACAGTGCACTTCGACGCAATGTGATCCAGCGCGGCATGGAAGAGCGTCAGGTCATCTTGGTAGTCCCAAGTACTACGCACCACCACGATGTCGTACTGAGACCAATCGTGCTCACGAAACTGTCGCCACGGGATGCGTGGCGTCACGGACCAGCCACGGGCCATGAAAGGCTCCACCAGCATGTCATCGTAAATGCACCATCCTTCCGTGTTGTCCATGGACAGAAATCCGAGTCTCCCCGAGCTGCACATGGCTTCCAGAAACTGGAACACTGGAACCGTAGGAGTTTACGAAGACTTGTGCCTAAGGGTTCACAGGACGCAGTAAGTAGGTACTCGGGCTGCATATTAGCAATCGTTGTAGGTTTGTGTCTTGGGAAATATGTGAGCATCATGTAAGTGACCCGTGCAAAGTGTTGCCACACAGGATCCGATGTACCTACATTAGAGACAGGATGTTTTCACTAATTCGAATAGAAAATGCAATAAGCGTCCTCTCATATAGGAACCTACAACTTAGGACCTAGGATACTTTGAGGCACACCTGGTCAGAAGCACCACAGGTATGCTTGGGCACCCTACAAACTGATAGAATGCCCGAGAACTGTAACTCGACTTCTGCCATCGATGAATGCAAGACCTCAAGTCCTCATGTAACCATTACTTGGAGGTTTATAAGAAGGATAGCTACACTTACATGTCATAGTAGGGGGCCCTATCATATCCTCATAACTACCCATGAACCTCCAAGTAATGTACGTAGACCCCTGATGACGGAACTATCAGGCTTTAAAAAGCGCCCGGATGCTACTTAGGATCCCTGCCATAAGGGAAGGGATTGATTTTTCAGGGGTCTACCTTAAGCCTCTGCCGTGAAACCCTGACAGCCTCAAGTGCCAAATATTTTTCAAGATAACATGATGTGTCCACAAACCCTGAAACCCCAAAACCCCTGTAATCAGAAGACAGCAAACGCGAAATATCACTGTTCCTCGCTGAATTCTAGACCCCAACCGGCAAACAGCAAGAACCCAACCCTAAACGCTAGAGCCCAAAGTAGTTCCTTTTTGTTGTTCGTATATATACATATATATATATATATATATATATATATAGAATCCTATAAGGTAATCCCAAAAAGAAACTACTATGGGGCCTATGAGCCCAAACATACAAGCCCTGAGCCACGATTTTACGACAACCGATGATTTGACCTGCAACCGTTCAAGCGCTATAAGACATATGGGAGTTTCTGAAAATAGGGGACAGTAATATAGTGCCCTAAATAGTAGGATCATTCTTATAAGGACCCCAAAATGAGGTCCCCTTGATTTTCGGAAACTCACATATTACCTATAAGCTACAATGCATCCTTGTTGGGATTACCTTATAGGAGATATAAGCCACAAAAGGGAGCCACAATGGAGCCTATAGGTAAACCTTGCTCCACCCTCAATCCCTGCAACCCTAAACCCTAAACCCTAAACCCTAAACCCTAAACCCTAAACCCTAAACCCTAAACCCTAAACCGTGGCCTGAAAGGTCTCCCCTTTCAGCCTCGTTGTCATCGGCAGTTTAGGGTTTAGGGTTTAGGGTTTAGGGTTTAGGGTTTAGTTTATTGTTTCTTGTCTTTGTGTGGGTTGAGGGTTTGGGGTTTAGGGCTTAGGGCCCTTTTCCGTCTGGGTTTGGGGTGTAGGCTTTACGGTATAGCGTGGTGAAGCTTGAACGGTAGTGGGGCCGGATGAAACCTGGAGCAATCTTGCATAGGCAGAACGTTCGCATGACATGCCCCTGCTCGTAAGTAAGCGTGTGTGTGTGTGTGTGTGTGGTGTGTGTGTGTGTGTTTTGTGAAGCGGTGGCAGGGGCAGAAGGGTAAGGTGTTTCTGAGAATGTTTCTGAGAATTGGGGAGTTGGGCTCAATGGCATTGAATCCTGGCTCGGTTAGTTCAGTCGGGGCTTGAGGCTTTAGGGTTGGGGCTTGGTGCTTGTGTTAACCTCTGGCTCGGCTAGGCTACAGGGTAGTAAATTTGGGATTTCGGGGCGTATGCGGTGTTTAGGCCACCCTTCAGGTGTAGGCTTCGGGGCTGCTGAAACCTGAATGAGAATGGGGCTTTGGGATATGATGGGACTACATTTATAGGGACTAGAGTCTAGAGGGGAGCACTCTCACTAACTGTTCAATAAACTGCCAACAACCGTAAACCCTAAACCCTAAACCATAACTTAAACCCTAAACCCTAAACCCTAAGTGCACGACGGAGAAGTACGTTGGCACAAATCTGATGAGATGGCTGCCCCAAGGGCTTCACTAGCTGGTGGTACAATAGAGCTGACTTACATAGGGCTTTGAAGCTATCTGTTTGGTGGCTTAAGATTCACCTCATTATGGGTTTAGGGTTTCGGGGGATTTAGATTTTAGGGGTGTTAAGGGTATACATAGGGAGTTGGGGTCCAAAACTTGGCACTTGGAACTTGGAGCCTCTGCCCTGGAGTACCTGCAGCTGCGACTTCACTTTGGGCGGTTTAGGGGTTCGGGATGGTGCAAGCTACCGATAGGCTCCATTGTAGTTCCTTTTTGTGGTATATATGTAGGATCCTATAATGTTATCCCAAAAAGGAAATACGATGGAGCGTAAAGGTAAGCTTATACTCACGTCTTCAATGAAGCTGTGTGTCTTGTCGCCCCGACGTACCCGAGATGAATCGGAAACCAGGATGGCAGTATGCTGTTGCGCCGGGAACCATGCCAAGGTGCTGTGTTACTGTCGAACTGTCATTGGCTTACGGCTTTGCGTCTTGTCTTTGGAGCTTGATTCAGCTGCAGTTTTGTGAAGTACAAGAACTCAAAGCCGAACCCTGTGGTGGTGCAAGGTATCGCAGCCGGGTGGCGTTTTCAACGTCACTTGGACCATCGCAGAGGGACTGCCTTATGGTTGCAAGCTATGGGCTTGTGGGATAGGCGGACATAGTGTAAGGCTTTCTCGGATGGGGCTGAAACTCACGGCCTTGGCGACGGTCTCCGGCTTATCAGAAGCTGACGGTCTTGGCGACAGTCTCCGGCTTATGATATAAGATGTTCTAAAGTCACAAAGCCCGATTACAGGATTAAATTGGCATGGCTCATTGACGGCTGCGTGGCGTCAATTTTTGGGTCGACGGGAAATGGGCGCGAAAGCTTGAGTCTGCCTGAAACTTCCTATGTAAGAGACCACTACGCACAGCCATGAGACGATGTATCTGTGTAGTGACTCAGGAAAGAGGCTCTACAATCGACAGCACCCGAACCACAAGCCGCTAAACGGTAGAATCCAAGCCTGAAGCGGACCCAAGAAAGTTAGTTTTGTGGAATAGTACACCGAACACCAGAATTATACACATGGGCAGAACAAGAATATACTTTCTGAACATACTCATTCCGACCCCGACATTACACCGAAGCCCAGGAGCCCCCGACCTAAAGCCCGAGCCAAGCTGCGGCGTTCGGCTTGGCGTCTCTTCCTCGTTCTTGGAGAGCACCGCCGCGCCGCGCTTGAGCCAGGGTACACGCTCCAAGCAGGCGGGGTTTGGGGTTTATAGGGCTTAGGATTGAGGGTTTAGGGTTGGGGGTTTAGAGTTTAGGGTTGAGGGCTTAGGAGTTGAGTTTTGGGATTGAAGGTTTAATTAGGTTTGTAGGGCTCCGATGAATGGAAGCAAACTAGTCCTCGAGTTTTCTGCATGTGTGCAGAGGGCAACACTAAATGCTAGGTGCAAAACACACAGCTCCACGAGACTTCAGATAAGATCGGTCAAGTTCTCATTATCAGCTATTTGACCTCAAGAAAGCTTCATTCTTTCAGTACACTGCAGTTTAGTGTTTGTGCGACTGTGCGTGTAAGGATCGAAAACCAGAACTGGAACGTTTCGTTCGCATTGGCACCTTTCTGGGAACCCTTGGGAATCCCAGGTTGGAAGCCTCGCAACCCCCAAAAGTGGAACCTTTGTGGCCACACCTTGTAGTAACCCCGCGCACGGCATGGCAACAAACCCCAACCGATGTAGGCTCCACACAGAACGTACCTCGGCTGGTATGCAGGGGTTTGAAGCTTAGGGTTTAGGGCCGCTTTGGGTTTAAGGTTCACATGGGCTTACAACTATAAGCTGCTATGGTTTATAGTGTTTAAGGTTCGCAGGGCTTGCATAATGGGATTCTGCCTCTGAGTTTCTGGGCCTCAGGTAGGGGGGCTGAGACTCGACTGCCAAGAAGCTGACTTGAAACTGACATGGAACCCAGCCAAATAGTATGTACTTTGGCCTGAAAGTACTGCCTATTGTATAAGTACATGGGGCCCAAAGTATACACTATTTCGGTACATGGACCCATAGGGGGACCTGGAACAAGGTATCGTGAGGAGCAACTGTCCCGTTAAACAGGGCTCTGTCAGGTTCCGCGTCTTCTTCAAGGAGGATATTTCGAATCTCTCAGAATGGAATCTATATGCAGCCTGCCGATCCCCAAGCATTTATATATTATAAACCCTAGAATCTGAAGAACACACCCTCAACCTTAGGTGCCTACATAGTCGCTAGAACGTTAAGATTCTCTACTGGCTGACTCTACTGAGCTACTCAGAAGCTTTGCTGAAGCAGTCTGAGCGACTTGTCGAAGTCCGTCCTGCCCAAAACATTGGAGGGTTCCAAGATAACACCTCCTTTTCGGGGTCTTACACTATCCGGTAACTCACCCTTGACACCACAGCCCTCCCACTAAAACAGTCTTGGGATTGCCTTGGTGAGAATTTTGAACCAATGACCTATAGTGCCGGTTCTCGGAGTCAAACATTTTTTCTACTGAGGGTACTACTACTTTTTTAGTTAGAGGATTGGGCTACACACAAGTCGGGGTTCCTTGTTATACCCTCCAGAGCCCTGTTCGCGCGCAACATGCGACGGGTTCAGGCTTGCGATTTTGCTGCCGGGCGCAGTACTTTCAGGCATTCTTGCTTCTAGAGGGTGCCAACGTACTGGTTTTTGCAGCATTTCCTGCACGTGTCCGGGTTGTTCCCGCAGACCTCTGAGCCTCGAAGAAGCTTCAGCCATGATGACGTGCAGATCAGACTCCATCCATTGCCGCAGAGCATCCATGTGCCAACCATGATGACGTGCAGATCAGACTCCATCCATTGCCGCAGAGCATCCATGTGCCAACCATGATGACGTGCAGATCAGACTCCATCCATTGCCGCAGAGCATCCATGTGCCAACCATGATGACGTGCAGATCAGACTCCATCCATTGCCGCAGAGCATCCATGTGCCAACCATGATGACGTGCAGATCAGACTCCATCCATTGCCGCAGAGCATCCATGTGCCAACCATGATGACGTGCAGATCAGACTCCATCCATTGCCGCAGAGCATCCATGTGCCAACCATGATGACGTGCAGATCAGACTCCATCCATTGCCGCAGAGCATCCATGTGCCAACCATGATGACGTGCAGATCAGACTCCATCCATTGCCGCAGAGCATCCATGTGCCAACCATGATGACGTGCAGATCAGACTCCATCCATTGCCGCAGAGCATCCATGTGCCAACCATGATGACGTGCAGATCAGACTCCATCCATTGCCGCAGAGCATCCATGTGCCAACCATGATGACGTGCAGATCAGACTCCATCCATTGCCGCAGAGCATCCATGTGCCAACCATGATGACGTGCAGATCAGACTCCATCCATTGCCGCAGAGCATCCATGTGCCAACCATGATGACGTGCAGATCAGACTCCATCCATTGCCGCAGAGCATCCATGTGCCAGCCATGATGACGTGCAGCTCTTCGCCTGAAGAGAAAAAATACAGCATTTTTTCGGACAGTCTTGCGTGGCCCAACATCTCGAATTCATTGGCAGGGCCAACGAATTTGCAACATGCGCGCCTTTGCGCGCGCGCGAACAAAGCCCTGGCGCGTGGTTATAGGTGTTATGGCCATGGCCCATGGTTTAGAGCTTCAGGGGTAATTACTTCTGACACCTCTACATCTCGAATCAGTCCCCACGTGTTGACAAATTCGGCGGCATGCGCGCATTTGAGCTGAGATATTGTTGGATGCGGCTGTGGTTAAGTTTCAGCGTCCAATGCAGTCAACTACTATATGCGGGTTTCCGAAAATAGGGGACCCTAATCTAGCACCTCAAATAATAGGATCCTTATTATAAGGACCCCAAAAATGGGGTACCCCTGATTGTCGGAAACTCCCATATAGACTGCTGGAGCCTCACTTATCCTCCGCAGCCTTGCGGTTGGTCGGTCGGATGGGGTTCAACGGAGAAGGCACCTAAACCACGTGAAACGTTCAACCACGAGTCTTCGACCTCATCAAAAGGTTCCCCCCCCCCCCCGATAACCTCTTCTGGTTGATTAGGGCCTTAGGGTTGGACACATATTTCCTGAGACTTTCAATACAAAAAGACACATGCACAACGACAAGATCTCGCACCACAGTCCAAAAGAGGCCGCTCCCCAACCCCAGAGGTTCAGGGTCTTATAGATATCCCACATCAGAAATTGCCTCGACATGTTTGCTCTTTGCAGCTCCTTGCATCTACGACGTTAGCAAGATCTGAATCGTAGAAGTCGCTCGCGCGCTTCCATCGAACCATATACACTCCCATTCTAGACTCTTTCTGTAACCTTGAGCGGCGCCTGTAAACGATCCTCTCGTTCGAAACCACCATGTCCCAGTAGTTGCGGGACATACCTCTTCTGGGCTTTGAAGTAACCAGGGAGAATAAAGTATAGACTTGTTGTTCATAATTGGCTCCCTTAAAAAATATTACAGTATGGTACTCCAAAGCCCAGTCTTCCATCCAGAAACTGCAGGGTTTAGGGGTTTCGCGCCCGTGAAAAGCGGGCAAGAGTCTCCATCACGGTTTAGGATTTAGGGTTTAGGGCCTCAACCCCTCAAAACCCTTCACCTTAGGCTGAACAGCAGCTCGGCAAGCTCGGTCAAACCGTGCCTGCACAGAGGTGTGATTGATTTGCGCGGGAAAGGCCTTCTGAGGTTCTAGATTGGAGTCACATTGTGGAGCCTTTATCGAAGCGAACTCCCGCTATATAATGGGCATGGCCTTGGGGCTTAGAGTGAAGACAGTTTAGGGTTCAGTGGCAGACCATACTACCACCCGGAGTGGAGAAAGGAACAATGCCAGGTGCCGGGCATCGGAATCATCTCCTTCAGTATGTTGCCGGCCAGCCAAGCTGGTTGAGCACGGCCATGCTTTACCTATCTAGCTTCCTGCCCTCATGACAGCTGCATTGGTTGATGTGGCCGTGGTTGTTCGTCATTTAAACCGTTGCAAATCCCACGAGTAGCTACTGCAGCTCAAGCTGTAAGATTGAAATGCCGGCAACTTCTGGGAATGAGGTGATTCACAACCCGGTACAGCCTAAACCCGACAACCACATCAACATGCTGCTGAGTTGGTGAAGACTGATGGATATCAAATGCAAGCTGGATCAAAAGGGTGTCTCACAGGCTACTTGTTGACTTGTTCAAAGGTCTGGCAGTAGGATTTAGGGTTTGGGGATTGGGATTTGAAGCTCAGGCTTTATGAAGGGATCCATGCAATGGTCATCAACAACATCTGCAATCGGGAAGCAGCTGCTGAGCCAAGAGGTGAACACTGGGTTTATTTCGGAGCTCGCACGGCATCCATGGATCACCCTGACCGACACGAAAGAGCCTCACTTGCTGCTGCCGGTTTAAAGCCAGGGCCCTTTTTTTTCGCGGCTGCGCCTTCCTTATAAGTTTTCACGGGTGATTCAATCTACATTGCTTGCAGGCAGTCAAGGAAAGCCATGCTCAGGTAATTCACATTTGCATAGCATAATCCATTGCAAGTTCAGGTTCCAGATGCAATGCAACTTAGAACAGTGCTACGTTGGTCACAGACCACCGCTGCGTGTTCGGACCAACGTAGCTTCCAAGCGCGGAGGCACACAAATCAGAGCTATTGCCTGCGACGATGAATACAGTTGCTGCAGTTGCAGCTCGCAACATGTGCGTAGAATATCTGGAACTGTACATGCATTCTGCTCTCTTTGAACACCACGAACTCCATGTGATCCACAACCCCCCCATCGGCTCTACATGCTCCAGTGACAGAGTCGTGCGGAGTGCCGTCGGGCTGGTCTGGTGCTTTGATCCAATGCTTCGTGTCTACAGTAAGGGCCGTTTCAACGAAGCTCTCTCCAAGCAACACTCGTGCCACTAGTATGCACCGTTCACCCTGGGCATGGCGACACTCCTTGAAGTTATCTGAGGCGCACTCGCTGCATGTGGTGTAAAAATCCGATTTTGACGCATTTTGAGCGAAATAGGTGCCTTTACCGAACAGGGAGCCTGTCATATCGCCGCCACGCTGGGGATCGAAACCTGTTCGCAGGATGCCTTCTGCCTTCCGAAAGCTCGTTCCGTGATACAACAGGTATTCGTTCATGTCCTTCCAGTACGGCGGCACTTCGCATTTCATAGCTGTCATGCCATGGATCCTCGTACAGTCATTGGCGCCCCGAGCACATCTGGCGCGCCGGGCTTGCTCGTACTCTTGTTGCTTGTCCGCATGAAACAGCTCACAGATTCGAGTCACTGAAACTCTGGGTGCAGAGCACCAGCATCCTGACCTAGAGGAAACTCTATGTTTAACCATCGAGGCATGGAACATCTCGGTCAGAGCCTTATTTTTCGGCTCATCCCAGGCCAAGTCTCTGGAGATCACTGTGGCCTGAGGCGGGATAAGAGGAAGCTGCGATAGGAGCACTTGGTGATAGTGTTGTCGGCTGAGTGCCAACAGTGTGTTCGCCGTGTACGTCGCATCACGCAGAGAGTTCAGTTCGGCTGAGATCGATTCTTTGGCTTCCTCTGATTCATTGAGCAAAGCAGTCATGCTTGCAAGCTCTCTCTGCACGGATTCCAGAGTGTGCGCATGCCAAGTCTCGGCTTCTTCATGCAAAGCAATTTTGGATGCCAGCTCCCCTGCGATTTTGCTTTTTTCGGCATCTGCTTCTGCAAGCACTTCGGTGAGCAACTCACCGGTGCTCGCTAGCTCCTTCTCGAGCCTCTGACGGTGCTGCGTATCAGCGTCCTGCGACGCATTCATGGACACGAGTTCGCTTGTCATTTGTTGTTTGGCTGCCTCTGCTTCTGACAGCAAAGCCGTCATTGTTTCAAGCTCCTTCTCCATGGACTCCAGCCTCTGCTTGTGCATCGTCTTTGCATCTTCGTGTACAGCAAGTCTTGATGCCAGTTCAGCTGCAACCTTTTGATTGGCGGCTTCTGCTGCTTCCAGCATGGAATATGTGTATGCAAGCTCTTTCTCCATGGACTCCATCGAACCCTTGTGCCGGGTTTCTGCTTCCTCCAGCATCACAATTCTGGATGCCAATTCTCCAGCAACCTGTCCTTTGGTCACCCTCGCCTCATTGAGTAGGGAAGCCGTGTTTGCAAGCTCCGTCTGCATGGACTCTAGCCTCTGACTATGCAGGATCTCGGCTTCTTTGCTCGAAGCAATCCTGGATGCGAGCTGGCTTCTCAAGGACTCCAGCTCCCTTTGCTGTCTAGCCGCGATGTCAGAAGTCGCCTCATGCGCGAGAGAAGCGTTTGGATCATCCTGATGCGTGGATGCCAACTGGCTCCCGTGCTCGCCGGACGAGGCTACCAAGACTTCTGCTTGGTCTGCTTGGATGACAGAATGCAGTTGTGCCTGTAGTGTCGCATCCTTGGGAGAATTTGAAGAGGGCTGAAAGGAGGGCTCAGGGCTAAGCTGACACTGTCTTAGAGGTTTGAGTCTAGCAGTTTGGGACGGGTGTAGTGGACTCATGTAGCTAGAGCCTGGGAAATGAAACACATCAAAGAGCCACCGAGCCTTCAGCCACAGCATCTTAAGCTTCTTCACGATGAGCCGGGAGTCTGAAAACACCTGACACTTTGGTGCATTGCAGCAGGACGCGCAATGGAAGTATGTTCACCATCTGAACCGCGAAAACGACGACCACTGAGTAGGAATCGCACTGCAGACAGAAAGCTGGCATTACCGCTTTAGATTTTGCAGAGTTTAGGGCTTCGGGTATCACCTACACATACTATATTGTACTGGTGTGCTATGCCAGGGTTTAGGAAATTTGAAGGAAGCCCACAAGCTACATCCCTAACTCATAGGTAGCTGAGCTCCTAGATAAACTGTTGCAAACAGAAGTCAACGAGCTGTTTTAATTCAAGGTTCGGGTTTAGGGTATCGGGTTTCGAGTCTAAGACTTGGGATGAAGAGCAAGAGGTACTGTGGCTGTTGCCCTCCCCAATGCCCATTCACCCATGCCTGTCGAACACTATCGGATCGGCTGCAGCATGAAGATCTCCATTAGCAAAATGTGAATCTTAAACCCTACACTAAAACCTGGGAGGCTATCAGAAATGCTCGATGCATCTTCTGGCAGCTTTAGCTGGTCCTCTCCTACGGTGGATGCGAGTTGGCTCGCGAGCATGCCCACTGACATAGATGCCGAGCTTGCATGGGGCTGCTATGTTGTGCCTTGAGCCAAGACATGCTCACACGGAAAGCTCACCGCCCAAACATCGCAGTGGACCGGATGCACACGCACCATCGGAAGGCTTTCTTACGAGTCTTCGGCAAGCACTGCGCCATGGAGCTGCTTCGCAGACCACCGACACGCCATGGCCCCGAAGATTGCATTTACTAACCCAGAAGGTCCTCGGTACGGTTATTGGGAATACTTCCCTACATCATAGTAGTAATTCCTAATATAGAAACGCTACATTCTACTCTATCGGACCTTTTGGGTAATGTGTGAAACTATGAGACCATGCCGCCGTCTTTCCACCTGCAGGTTGGAACAGAGATGGGGCCTGTTCCAGATTACTCTCCTCTGGAAATCCTCTGCCCTAAGGGTCCATGTACCCAAATAGTATATATATATATATATATTAATATAATAATATATTAATATATTATTATATAAACATATATATATATATGTATATATACTTTGGCCCTATGTAATGTACCTAAATCGGGACTACTTTAAGGCCAATGTGTATACTATAAAGGTACATGGACCCTTAGGGCTGTCTACGGGCAAGCTCCCTGCCTGACTCACACAGCAGAGCTGCAGCACAGCCTGAACAGAAAAGCAACGATGTCCACTCGAAAAGGAGGCATTAGGCAGGGCTTCAACAGGGGTCGCATTTGGGGTTTAGGGTTTAGGGTAGAGGGTTTAGGGGTTTGGGACAGAGGTGGTGGGGATGAAAAGGCCTACGCATTGGAGATACTTGCACCACTCTCGGGAGAATGCGGACTGCAATGCATGCAGTTTGCAGGCTTTTTCCTTCCGCGCCAGAGCAGGAGCCCTCACAGCTCGCACCGACCTCATAATGGAACGAACTACAGATCTTGAATCAAGATCATGCACACATGTTGGAGGGTACCAATAAGCAAAATGCCTTCACCAACGAGGTAGACGGGGCTGATTATTCATCAAACTCGATAGATCTAAGCAGAAGCAGTCAGCTCAAGCTTCAGCACCTGCAAGCTGTGTGGCAACGTTCATGAGAGCGTAGACCCTGGTTCTAGGATCACCAGTGACCTAGGAATAACAATTGGCCAGTTGTAAGGAACCTAAGACCACAAAAAAAACACGGGAAAAGGGCACAATAGTGGAGACCTGGCGCTGCTTTCAAGAGATTGGGAGACTTTGCAGCCTGACGGCCGGCTCTAATCGATGATGTCCGCGAAGACCAGGTCCTGAACGGACTCCTTTGCAAAAGGAGGCTTTAGGGCGTACTTGGAGGTTCATGGGTAGTTATAGGTGGGACTTATAACCCTACTTGTAACTACCCATGAACCTCCAAGTAGGGCTAAGGATTTTAGGGTTCGGGTTTGGGGGTTGGGATCAGAGACTTTACCTGAGGATCTAGTCGGGTTCAGGGTTACAGAGTTTAGGAAGTGTTTGGATTCTTGAAGCCGCAATGGAGGATCTTAGGGTTCAACCTTCGGGTTGATCTGTGGGGACCTAGGTTCGGGAATGGTGCCGTGGGTGAACTCTGCAGTCACGTGCTTAGTGTGCTCGGTGTTGGCTGCGATCCTTTGGTGATGTTGCTGTCACTTTAAGGTGGGGCGGGCGACTCCGTACAACACCCAATACGGAACGAGGCGGCGCATGGGGTAGAGAAACGATGCTGCATACACGATAACACAAGGGCAGTACTCATGCTGGCACTTTAGATGCCTACTACGGTGGTTGCCACAATCGAAGATCATCTTTCTGGCAGAAGGACTTGTCAAGCTGTCTGAAGTTAGCCAATGTTCAGAAGTACCAGCAAATACGTTGCATCCATTACTAATCATCCCTAACTGACTAACAAGCACAGCACACCACTCTGGAAGAAGCCCAACAGGTACAAGCTTCATTCCACACCTCGAATCCCTACCCAAACCAATGCAAGCAAAACCGAAGCAGCAGACCCTGCCTTTCCGAAGTAAGTGACTTTAAATGCTAGGGAGGAGCAGGAGCAGGAGGAGGAGTAGGAGTAGTTGGAGTAGCGGTAGTAGGAGCAGTAGTCGTAGTGGCAGTAGTAGCAGTAGTAGTAGTAGTAGTCGTCGTGGTCGTAGTCGTACTAGTCGTCGTAGTAGTAGTAAGGGTAGTAGGAGTGAGTAGGAGTAGGAGGAGCAGTAGGAGTAGTAGCAGATCGGGTAATAGGAGTAGTATTAGAAGAAGTAGTAGACTTAGTAGACGTGGTGGTAGTAGTAGTAGTAGTAGTAGTAGTAGTAGTAGTAGTAGTAGTAGTAGTAGTAGTAAATGATGTTGCAGTTGAAGTTGTAGTTGTAGTAGCAGTAGCAATAGCAGCAGAGCTAGTAGCGATTGGAAGGCAGCGGCTCAGCAGCCACAGTAGTGCTACTGCCACTAGTAAGTAGCAATAAGAACAATAATGATAGTCACAGTCATAATGCGCCAGCTACGACAATACAACAAAACCGAAAGCTTTCAGATCCCCCAAACATGAAGCAGCAAAGCTTCGAACATCTTGCGCGTCATCTGCATGGACCGCGTCCGTAAACCGCAGTTGAAGTTGATGGTCTGCGGAGTCCGGCCACAGCTTCTGATCTTACTGGCACAACCTGGAAGACCACTACACACACATCTCAAAACGAAGACGAGGAAAAGGGTTGCGGCAGCAACATGCTTGGCAGACACGTGCAGTCAGATTACAACCATTTCTAAACTATACTGAACTTAGAACCCTAGCAAAAATTAAAATTTTAGCTGTTTCTTAGGGAATATAATAACCAAAAATAAAAAATGACTTCTAAGTACCCCTAAGTAAACTGGAGCTGACCCTCAACCGGCAAACTCCGGAGCTGCAGCTGTTAGGACACAGACTTAACAATAAGCATATACAACACCTCCTCCGGCACATCTTCTCATCACCATGCTTCGCTTCTTCATGCCATCATGTTCCAGATGATGCTGCTTTTGCAGGATAATGGCGTCGTCCTCTTCAGTATCTCGCTCATCTGTACGATCCTTGTCTTCACCATCACCATGACTGTCATCATCGCCATCACATCATCATCAGCATCACCAGTATCAACATCCTAGCCCTAGCCATCGCAAGCAGCATCGACCACCTCATTACGACCAACATGACGAAACCCCATGACGTCTTTAACATACCCCTCATCACCATCAGCAGCCACAAAAACATCATCGACATCATCATCCACGTCTTCTAAACTGGCACCATCTTGCCGTGGATCAGTCTCATCTTGATAATCATAACGGCCGGTGCTGGCTCCGCAGAACGTCATGTCAAGCCACATAGCAAGGTCGATCCTATCGTCACCGTCATCACCAGTATGAGCACCGCAATGGCCTGGGTTGTGAACACAATTTCTGCTCTTCGCGTTCAGTCTTGACATCATAACTTTCCTCCTCAGGAGCACCAGCGTCGTCATGCCACCAACGTCAAGATTACCATAGCCGTGGATCGCCAGCGAGTCTTGACATCAAAACACAAAATGGTTGGCTCACATCGCAGATTGGCCACGAGGTGCATATCACAGCTTGGATGACGAGTCATCAACATTACTCCGCCCTGCCTCGGGCAGGGTGTTGTCAACCACCGTCATCACCTGCGGGCCACTCCCGAATTGTGAGAAGGAAGGAGGTCAAGAACCCCCAGAATTATGTTCAGAGGTTTTTGCGACCTCGAAGGATTGCTAGGCTGTTGTTTTGAGACCGCGAACAGTGTTTCTCCCAAAGCTTCGCCAGATAAACGCAAACCGAATGTTCATTTCCTGATGCCCCTCTTTCTACATGGCAGGTATGCCTTGTCGGAGCACAGCAAGACGGGGAGAAGGCAAGCTTTGCAAGACTGTGCTCGCACCAGTCCAAGGAACAATGGAACAAAATGACACACCTTGTGGGGCTGGTGATGGCTTGCTGTCAGAGTACATAAACGGCCGAACCTTGTGGGCTTAGCCAGCAGTACATCCGAAACCTGAAAAGTCGAACTCCACCACACAGCTCTTCATCGAGCTCGTGCCTATTTAATTTAACACAGCTCACGTTACCCAGAGTGGCTGTACATTTATTCAGTGTACCTTTGGAGTCTCTGGGCAACAACTTCCAAGACGGAAGGTCTCGGCCTGCTATTCAGGAGTGCTATACACATGATACCTGGTATTGTACTATGTTACATTATATATGTTACATTATATATATGTATGTGTATATATATATATAGTCTGGGATTACTTAGAGTCTGAAGGCGAATGTTTAGGGAAGATTCAGGATCCACAGAATTGCACCCCCTGAATCCTCACGGAGCCTTCTCCGGGAAAGCAGCTAAAGGAGGAACTGCACCGGGCAAACAGCCCGTTACTGCAGCCACTTCCTTGCGGTCTGACTGGAAAGATTCTCAAATAACGCTGCAGGGCAGTTTTCAAGCGTCCCTATCGGATTTTCATAGCAGCACAATTAATTGATCAGCAAATGTCTGAACACAGCCAGGGATGTCAAGGGAGATTCTTACGCTGTGGTAAATTCGTTCTTTCAGCTGTGTAAGGTACGTACTTCCACGCGCATGCAGCTCATTGCGTATCTTCCACAGTTACCCGAAGGGTCCATGTACCCGACTAGTATATACCTTGGCCTTAAAGCAGTTCTTGTATCAGTACTTTGGGGCCAAAGTATAGAATTCTAGGGTACATGGACGCTTGAGGTTTTGCTGCTTAACTCACGAAACCATGTCTGGGTGCGAGAGAGCTTGCATTCAACAGCAAGATCGTGGCGCATGCATGCTTCTTGAAAGTGTTAGAGTTTGGAGATTTGTGGGTAGGTTAATTACTCCGTTTGCACCGCCAACAAAAAGACTGCACAGAGCCTACACTCCGACAAAGAAACCGACGCTTACATCGAAACTGCTGAATCAGGTCCTCTTCCGTAGCCATCCGCGTGCCCTTGCCATGCAGAGCGCGAACTTTCTTCCAGCTGAGCTTGCAATCCTGAGGTTCTAGCATGTGACCTTCTGGTTGCGAGGCTTAGGCTTCAAGCTCGAGAGGCGAAAATAGGGGACCCTAATATAGTAGCAAAACAAAGAATCCTTATTATAAGGACCCCTAAATATGGTACCCCTATTTTCGGAAACTCCCATTTCGGGTCTTGGGTTTGGGATTCCTATACTGAACTTAGAACCCTAGCAAAATATTAATTCTAGCTGTTTCTTAGGGATTCAAATAGCCAAAGATTAAAAGCTATTTCTAAGCACCCCTTAGGCTCCTGTTCCCTTTTTGGTATTGGGTACTTTTATAAGGAACCTAGGACTACAAAAAGGGAATAAGGGTACTACTGGGCATCCTAGTCCTATCCTATTTCTAAGTACCCCTAAGAGAAGGCCTTGGTGCCCCAAGAGGCTTCAGGTCTCTCCGGGAGAGATCCCGAGTTACCTATAGTCTCCATTCTAGTTCTTTTCTGGGGTTACCTTTTAGGATCCCTAATATAAAACTGGGTAAACCATAAAAAGGAACTACAATGGAGACTATAGGTAGGATTGAATGAAGGAGGTTGGGGTCTTTTTGGGGCCCATCTTGGGTTTCGGGTCCCGGTTTATGGGTTTATAGGCTATGGGTTTATAGTCTATTATTGTTGTAGATATTCTAGTTGTTGTACTAAACCACTGACTACTTACACAAAGCAACTGCACTGAACGAGTTTCAACTGCATGGGCACCGCCGAATCGTGTAAACCGTCTTGCATGAAATGAAAACCTGCTGATTCAAACAACACGAATACACCGTTGCTCTCAACTCGTGATTATAAACCGATGCCAGGAGACTGCCGGCAGAACGGTGTGGAGCCATGTGCCGGCTGCAGTCCTCGCAACTTGCTTAGACGCGTGATTTCATCATCTTTTGCGCTCGAACTGCCCACAAACTCTACACTAAACCCTTAACCCTTAGCCTTAAACCGCGGAGCCTCAAACCCTAAACTCATATGGGGCTTCACCACCCTCTGAACCCGACTTGGAGTTTGGCAGGCTTCAAGGACACAACAATTCGCAGCTGTTGCAGCATCCGAAAGCCATATCTTAGACGATGGGATCGCAGGAATCTGGCTCGAAGTACCGACTGTGTGAGGGCTTCGCATTGAGGCTTCTGTTATACAGTATCATACACTGCAAACCTCGCCACCCTTCAAAATTCAAGGGGTTGGACGCTAATTAATTACTAAAGAGGCTCCTGTGTTCCGAGTCACTTGGTCGAGCAAGGCTTTCTGGTGCAAGGTGCAGTCGAACCGAGAACAGGAGCACATCCGAACCACACAACAACGCTCAGCGTCAGTCTCTGTAGCCCAACGGCCACGACTTGGAGGATCATGGGCCTTAGTAAGTAAGCTTATAAGTACCTTCTTTGGGGTTAAGTAGTTATAAGTATAGTTACCCTAATTATAACCCTATAGTTACTAAGTCCCATGATCCTTTAACTAGTACTCTCAATCCTACATACCCAAAGCTCCGAACCGGAGACCCGCAACCCCACACCAGGCTGACACTGGTAACACCTTCCGCATTCCCCACAGAAGCCACCTGAGGAGCATTGCCTTTGCGCCACTGTGGAGTGTCACGTCGGACCATCCGCCCGCCAGGCGAACCTATTAGGGACTTCAGGCTTTGAGTTTAGAGGTTTCGGATTCAAGAGATTTCGAGTTCGGGGTCCAGGCTTTCGTGTTCAGGCAGTACAGCATCTTTCTACGGCTAAGCCCAAGGCCGCTTTAAACACACTTCAAGTAGCCTTTCGTGGCCGGTTGTCGAAATCACAACTTTCCCCAAGCCCCAAATGGAACCTCTCAAGTTCTATTCCACAACTCAGAGCACGCAAGCACCAAACCTTCAAACCGGAAGTAACGAACCCTGAACCTTAAACCCTCGGCCCTACCTATAGCCTCCATTGTAGTCCTGCTTTTGGTGAAACCAATGTTCCATTCAGGATCAAAAAACGTTAACCCCAAAAAGGAACTACGATGGAGAATCTAGGCAAATCCTGGTTCGAGGGCTAAACTGCTCCCAAACCGTGACCCTTCCTGGACCTTTGAAAGTCTACCCTAAGGTATAGCCCGAAAGCCTTATGTAGTCTGGTCTTTAGGCCCAAAACCTTTAAAATACCAGTCCTCGATAAGACCCTTAGGGCTACCAAAGCAGGACAGGTTACAAGGAAGTCAAAACCAACCCGATATATTTAAGTCATTTGAGGTACAGTTGCAGCCCCAGGCCTCAAGCCCCAAACCCGACAGGAAACCTCGTGCTTCCAGGCGCTATGTAACCCCAAACCCTAAGCTGAATAGGCCCCATAAAACCTTGTAATACCCTACACCCTGCATCTACATGACTTCTAGCCCATTTTTCATGAAAACTCATACCTTAAAATCGTGCTAGACAATGTCCTTACGACACCCATCAACCCACGGCAAAAGCTAGCCATGTGTCACCCCACCTCCGCCCATAAAAACACACATAGATTTGAAAAGCAAGAACCCCAGCACACTCCTCCCCCGTCAAAGCCCAAACCCCAAACCCTAAACCCTCAACCCCAAAGCCTCAAACACTAAACCCCCCATAAACCTCAGACCCCTATACTTGGAGGATCATGGGACTTAGCAAGTAAGGTCATAAGTACCTGACTTGGGGTTATAAGTAGTTGTAAGTATAGTTACCCTGATTATACATTATAACCCTAGTTACTAAGTCCCATGATCCTTGAAGTATAGACCTTAAAGTACAGACCTTAAGCCCGACCTGCACCGAATCCTCGGAGGTCCGGCAGGGCGGATGGGGTCCCAACTCGCTGAACTCCGCCGAAGCTGCGCCCAGGAGCGCTTTGAGCCTCTCAGGGCTCCCCTTAAGGGGGTTTAGGGGTTTAGGGGTTTAGGGTTTAGGGGTTCAGGGGTTCAGGAGTTTGGGGGTTTAGGGGTTTCGGGTTTAGGGTTTAGGGTTGAGGGGTTTAGGGGTTGAGGGGTTAAGGGGTTTAGGGTTGATAAGGTTTTTGTAAAGGGTGCAATGGGACGGACTTTCGCACTGCTGACTTAGGGGTTAAGGTTTAGGGTTTAGGTTTAGGGTTTAGAGTTTGGGGTTTATGGGGGTTTACTGTAGGGCTTAGGGCTAAACTCTAAACCCTAAACCACCTAAACCCTATAAACCTAACTCAGGGTTTCCATAATTGGACATTAGGGGTTCATTGAAAGGCCCCAGTACCGGTTTCATAGCGACTCAGGGGTTCCGATACCCAAAGGGTGCCAAGTACCTGGCTTGGTATAGTGTAAGAGTTTCTACAGTAGGAAGTATTCCCCATAACGGTACACTTGGGGTTAATATACTACAACGAGCCACCCTTTCAGAGTGAAGCGTAAGCCGGTGCACGCCGCTTTGAGCCTTGAGGACACAACAAAAAACGGCTTTGGGTGAAGCAGGGACGAACCTAGGGGTTTACACACATACCAAGCCTTACCAAGCCAAGCACAAGGCGGGCTCCTCTCATAGGTGCCGGTGCCAGGAGGTGCCAGCTCCTCAGGCCTAAGTTCGGCAGGGCGAGGGCTTGGAGGCCCGAGGTTAGCGTTGAGAGCTTAGGGCTCAGGGCGTCAAGCTCGAAACCAAGATCAGCAAACGTCGGCTGGTCGCCAAAGCAATGCAGAACTGGACGTCGCAGCAGAGTCACCGTGGCTTGCATGCATCCGGAGGGTTGGAAGACATTTGCTGGGCTTGAGATTCCGTTCAGCATATCTGACGGCTTCACAGGCACTCAGTAGCCAGGCAAGCACGATTGATGACAATGTAACCTTTATCGTAGAAGCTCCTGCGAGAGCAACCGGCATCCAAACGGCTGCAACTGCAAGTGTGACTGTATCAATGTACGTATGGATGGATGGATGGAGGGAGGCAGGGAGGGAGGGACGGATGGACTTGTGTATGCATGAGGGTCTGAAGGCTACGGAAAAGTTACTCGGTTGACTATATTTCGATAGTCAACACTTGTTGAAGAAGTGTAGAACCGCTAATCCTATCGTAGCGGCCGGGCTGCAAGTACGACGTCGACTCAACTGCTGCAGCTGTTTCTGCTGGCTGCGCCGCAGGGGGATGGACCTAGCGATAGCTTGGGTAAGCCTCAGGGAGGGAGAGGGAGAGAGAGAGAGAGAGAGAGAGAGACAGAGAGAGAGAGAGAGAGAGAGAGAGAGAGGGAGGGAGAGGGAGAGGGAGAGGGAGAGGGAGAGGGAGAGGGAGAGGGAGGGAGAGGGAGAGAGAGAGAGAGAGAGCTGACGGTAGATAGACAGACCGGTAGACGGATAGATAGCTAGTTAGCTAGACAGATAGATAGATAAATGTGCACATGAACAGAAATACAGACAGGCAGACAGAGAGTGAATATAGATAGAGAGAGAGAGAGAGAGAGAGAGATCGATCGACAGATATATACACAAATAGAGAAACACACAAACAGACCGATAGATAGATCGATCGATAGCAGGTAGACCGATACATAGTTAAGCAGATAAAGGCATAGATAGATCGATGTGTGTGTGTGTGTGTCTGTGTGTGCGTGTGCGTGTGCTGGCACACAAAACAATAGCCTGGCCTGTCCACAGCTCTTGACCGGCGGGTAGGCCGACAAAGCATTCTTCAGCTCCTCGTCGAGGGATCGGCTTTGGGGCTTCTCTTCCTTCTGGAGTTTAGGGCTATAGGTTTAGGGTTTAGGGTTCAGGGTCACTTTAGGGTCAAACCGTTTAGGTGGCTTGCCAGAAGGAAACCAGTCTATTACGGCCTACAGTGCTTCCACATGATACCCTAAAACCGCCAACCTCCAAACCCGAAATCCTTCCACAAAGCTCCTGAAGCCCAGCCATTGAATGACTCCAGATCTGACGATCCTCCAAAGCCACGCATTAACCCCAATCCACGAGTCGCACAGTCCGGAAATTCATATGGGTAGTTGTCAAAATGATGGCCCCTTTTTGGGTACCCCAAATGAAAGGTGCCGTATTATAATAGGGACTCCAATAGGGACCATAAGAAGGACAACCACCCGAATTAATATTCGGGTCAAGGGTTTAGGGGTTTAGGGTTTGCTGCGGTGGGATTGGGCCCTTCCCGTAACCTCTTCCCTACATCCGTAATTGTCTAGAACACACTATAGGAAAGCTGGGACTGAGTTTCAGCTAAGAAGAGCCCTAAACCCTATGAACGCTTGAGACCCTAAACTTTGAACCCTAAACCCTAAACCCCTAAAGCCATAAAACCCTAAACCCTAAAAAGCTCCTCCAGTCCGGGCAAAGGCGCCCGAGTCGAGACAGGAAGCCCAGCCTTCGTTGCTGCTGCCTTCTCCGGTTTCGGAGAAGCGGCCGGCGGATCGAGGCCTGAACTCGAAACCCTGAGCCTCAACTAAGGTTTGAGGGGTTTGGGCTTATAATTAAACTCAAAATTCAAGATTCTAAGTTTTGGCTCAATATACCCTGAACCCTGAACCTTCAATCTCACGCGCCAAACCCTAAACCCGGAACTGTATACAGAACCTTTTTCCCAGTGTGTCGTCGCAACTAAAGGCGCGCGAAGGCTTCAGGCTTTATAGGAATCAGATTCCAAGGTTATAAGCTTAGGCCCCATAGTAGTTCCTTCTTGGAACTACCTTATAGAATTCTATATACGGACCACAAAAAGGAACTACTTTGCGGCCTATGGGTGACCTTAAGGTTCGCAGGCTTCAGTGGGTTCTGGGCCAGCCAAGCCTTCTTGTGGGCTTCTGAATGCTTGCTGTGCATGGCCGCGTCGGGTTCTGGACTGGGGCATTTACCCGACCCTAAGTTCACCTACTAGTAAGCTGTGCACGGCTCATTGAATGGGCGCTTGGATGCTACATTGCATAGAAAGCCGACTTTCTGGGGACAGGTGTCTGCTCTTGAGGAAGTCGACCACGACGTTCAAGTCAGCAGCTTTCTGCGGCACGAAATGCTGTCCTGCGAACGGCGTTGACATGCAAAACCGGTTGCTGTTTTGGAACCTACGGGACTGCCAAAATCCGAAACTCCACGTCCAGCAGTCCGTCCACGAAATCCTGAGCCAAAACAGCCTAACCAAACTCGAAATCCCGCAACCTTGCCGAAACCTAGCGTCTCACAGTTTGGGCCTTACTGAAAACTGAATAGCCGGATACTTCCGTCGCGCGCAGATCTAGGTTCCCTCCGATGGCCCTCCTTCTAAGCCTGGTGGAGTAGTTCCTGTTCGGATCTTGCCGTCCGTGCATGGACAAAGCGGGGTGGCCGGACTGCGTGGAGTCTAGAGTTTAGGGCTTACCGGCTTAGGTTGTGTTTTTTTCCGTTGCACCTGCATGCAACGCGTGTAGCCAACACAAGACAACGATTCCCCTACCCCTACAGCCCTTTCTACATAAATCCCCAACAGCCCAACGACCTCAGGGCTCATGCCTACGTACCCGTTGAGGATATATACCGGCCTTACTGTAAAGTACCATAGGAACCGAGTGAGGCCACTGTACATCCTGCATTCATATGGACCCACGGAAAGTCCCAGCCCTGACCTTCCAAAATCCCATAATTAAGGACTGTACCATAAACTATAGCGTACAGGATCCCATGCACGATTTCAGGTGCATATTCCTGAACTAAAGGAGTTTACCGTAAACTAGAGTATAGAATCCCATGCATGATTTAAGGTACTTGTATATTCCCGAAATGAGGGATTTTGGAAGGAACCTAAGCCTAAACCCTGAATACAGGATAGTTATATATAAGGGATTTTGGAAGGTCTGGGATCCCACCTCCGTGGGCGTGCGTCTTCGCAGCCTCGAAGCGAGTCGCCAAGGCTTCGCTAGCCCAGGCCGGGATGTGGTCGTCCTCCGGGAGCTTAGGGTTGACGGTTGATAAGAGTTTAGAGTTTATAGGGCTTATAGGGCTTATAGGGTTCAAAGGGTTTAGGCTTTATAAGGGTTTAGGGCTTCTTACTGGGGCCTTGGAGATGCCTTATTTAAGATGTTAACCGGCATTGGAGTTCTTCGATGAGGTATCACTGACTTCTAGCAGCTGGGGATCCTTCTTTAGGCTCTTGGGGTGTCTGGCATTGCACGACGACAACTAAGCCCCTAAGGTGCTTTGGGGTCCCGTCCAGAAACTGCGCACACCCCGATCTAAGTTGAACAGGCAGTACCATGATTATGGCGCGGGGTTCCGGTGTATGTGTGTGTGTATGGGGACATGAGCTGCAGAGGTTGCAATAATAAGTTCGTAGTTAAGGTTCGGAGGACCCTGGACGAGAACCAGGGATTCTTATCTTGAAGTGGGTTCTCCATGGCAATAACTGCAAGAGCAGTCACCCGTAGCAGCGACGGCAATCTTTACAAGCCACAACTGTGCAGTTCAGCCCCCATGAAAAACCAAAACCGCCGAGTCGCGCGACACTGAACCCTGAACCCTAAACCCTAAACTCCAAACCAGAACCCCTAAACCCTAAACTCCAAACCCAAACCCCTAAACCCTAAACTCCAAACCAGAACCCGTAAACCCTAAACTCCAAACCAGAACCCCTAAACCCTACACTCCAAACCCTAACACCGTCCTCCGCGCCCCAGATGTGGAGGCTTGGAATCGGCAGTGGTCGAGATGGAAAAATGACCCCTGGCAGACCCAAAGGGTGCTATGTACTGTTATGGGGGGATAGTTCCCTAAGTGATAATCGTAATAGTAATTCCTAAATATATGTCCTATAGTTCCCTAAATCGTAGTAATAAGAATATTTCCTAATATGTCCTATGTACTGTTACGGGGGATAGTTCCCCAAGTCATATGTATAATAGTAATTCCTAATATGGAAACCCTGCATTTTACTATATGAGTTCATAGGATCCTTTGGGAGAAGGGCCAACCATGCTAGGCAAAGGTTCTGGTTGAAGGGTGGGAGTCGGGTGTCTGTGGATTGGGGATTTTGGGGTATATGGGTGAGTTCAATTTCGGCTGAGCGATTTGTAGGGGCGCTTGGGGTATGGCAGGTAAGCCACTCCGTGGTCAGAATGGACGTCAAAACATCATTATGACACGCAGCCACGTCCTTATGAGGCTTGTGGAATCACAAGGCATCTCTGCAACAATACAATCACCCTCCACCCAATCCACAAAACCTGACTTCGGTTCTCCCGCTAAACCGCGGACCTTCAGGAACGGGCTTGCCAAAGCCCGAAATGAGCACGGCGCATCTGGGCCTCTGTAGCACTTCTTTGGATCCACCCCGTTCCAAGAGGTTTAGGAGCGTATAGGTAGGCTATACCTGTAGTCTCCATTCGTCTCGTTCCTTTTAAAGATTTTATAACCTTCTAGGATCCTAAATATATAAGCCACCAAGAGGAACTATGGAGCCTATCGGAAAAGAGCTGGAATTACTTCTGTATCCTCCGTATATAGATACTCAGGATCCATGAGCCCCAAAGCGTGATTGGAGCTCCATCCAAATCGCGAACACAAGAACTGGAGTACACAATTCTCTATCCTACGCACTGTCGCCCAGGCTCGCATAATTCCTCCAGCCTCGCCAGAACCCGAATAACCCTGATTACCACGAGGAGCACAGGCACCAAATAATCCTATGCCCTCGAATACTAGGGTTTAGGGTGTAGGGAATCTACAGCGAGACTACTATCAGAACGGTTGAAGGCTTAGGGTTTGGGACTACTATCCGAAACTTCCCAGTCAACACCGAAGGCTCCATGTACCACATAGCATATACATGTATATACTTAAGACTCGAACTGCTTATATAGGAGCCCTTTAAGGCCTGAGTATACTTTCATATATATATATATATATATGTATACATAAATATACACTTACTATATGTGCGCATAGGGAGCCTTAGAGTGGGGCACCAGTTGCGAGGGAAGCGTCGGTGGGAGGCCCTTTCGCTGAAGCTCCGCGCAAAGTGCGGCGCCAAGGATGGCACCCTGGGAGAACCTCGCGGGAGGTTCTCGTGATAGTTTGAATAGGGTTGCTATCGGGGTTCATAGGGTTTAGGGTAACTTAAAGGTCGTTGTGTAAAGGCTCATACAAGGCTTCCGAAGAAGGGGGTTGTTGCTAAGCCATAATTGCTATAAGGGTTCTCCAAAGGTCTTAATTCAGGGTCATTATCAGCGTTCCGTTTTAAGGGTTTAGTATTTCGCGCTGCGAGTTCAAGCCTTTGGGTCTCGTTAGGATTTATGGCTTCGGGTTCAGGTCTCTGGGTTTGGGCTTGTGGATCTTAGGGTTTAGGGTTTCGGGTTGTTCCGGCTTTAATCTTTGTTCAGCCTTGAAGAGTGAGTTTAAAGGGCTGAGGGCTTCGGGATGATTCATGCCTTACGGATTTAGGGTTTCGGGTTGAGGCCTTAGGGTATCGGTTTTCGAGTTTGCGGCCCAGAGACTCTACATCCCGATCATCCCAAAGACTCTACATCTGTAAAGTAGAAGCCAGAAAGTTGGAACATCATTATCCTCATGGTCTTAATGTTAAGTATAAGGGATCCTAGCTCTAATCCTCCTAAAGTCATGTTCCAACTTTCTGGCTTCTACTATAGGGTTACGCACTCAGGCATGTTTGCAAGTTGCCCACAAGGTCTGTGGACGGGCTTGCAGGTTTGGCAACTCTACCTATAGTCTCCATTGTAGTTCCTATTCGGGTTTACCTTAAAGGATCTCAATTATATACATTTGGTTAAACCAGAAAAAGGAACTACCATGGAGACTATAGGTAACTCGTTTTTGTTAAGCAGCTTTGTGTGTTCAGGAAACGACGGGGTCTGCAACTCCAATGCTGCTTGAACCCGCAACACACGGAAACTAACGATCTTGTCCTATGCTTTGTTTGGCGTATCCGAGCTGCAGCAGCTATGTTTCACCATAATTTTGTAGTAATTAGAACCTAGCAAGTGTACGACAAACCTTTAACCAAACTGATCAGTCTAACGGCTCGCATCTTACACAGACCAAACGCGTGCAGCAGCGAGACACGCCCAACTTTCCACTGCTGATCTGCCCTTCTGGAAGGGTCCTAGAGTCCTAGGTACCCAGATAGTAGACTGTAGGGTTTCTATACTCGGAACCACTACTATGATGTAGGGAAGTATTCCCCATAACAGTACCTAAAGTACCCTCACGCCTTTCCCAGACCTTCGCAGACCTTTAACCTCCTCCAAAAGCCCACCCTGAATCCTAAACCCCCAAAAGGGTTCAGGGTTCAGGTTAGTTTTGGTGTTCTATGTAAGAATAATGACAAAGAAGCTATAAGGGGTGATTCTACATTGCAGGAAGCATTGGCAAGGCTTTACCTTAAGCACATTTTACAAACAAAGACCACAACGATGCCAAAAGCTCCGGGCACTTGTAGCCTAATGTCCGGACCGTCCAAACCATGGTAACGTCTAAGTAAGATCTAGTGGTCCCGGAAGAAGTATCTGCGGAGCACCCGAGGATGCCATCGTAGCCCTTTTCCCACTCTGTCAGGACCAGGGATAGACCTGATCCGGAACAAGCGATGAGGGCAAACGATTAAGAAACTTGAGCCCCCAAGGCAAGGATTGTGCTGGGTCTTTAGCCTTGTTTGAATTTCGGTGCGCATGCAAGAATCCCATCTACTGTCATTTTCACCTAGGCAGCCAGAAACCCTCTTGCAGGTCGTTTGTTGTAACATAAAAACTGCTACGCAAAATGCAGTACAAAACAGGGTCTGCGGTTCTCGACTCGCAGGAACCATCTTCTTACGCACAACAGTTGTTTGCTCAGAAGAACAAATCCTGCTCTCCCTGATTTCGGCCAGCCTTGGAAACGAAATTGAGCAGCAAATCCCAAACTCGCCGCAACAAGCCTACGTAAACTTCAACATGCCTCTATGCCTTTGCAGCAAAGCTCACCATACGAAGAACATGCAGCTATTCCCCTAAACCCTGAACCCCTAAACCCTAAATACCGTCGCTCTAAGAGCCGCTAAGCGGAAGTAGCACTGGGCCCCAGGCTCTCTTGAAGCCCTTCCGGGCGAAAGCTCGGGCGCTGTAGCAAAGTGTCGGCCAAGGCTTGAATCGTCTCCTGCCCCCGGTCTAGGGTTTAGGGTTTGCTCTCGGGGTTGTTCCTGAGGGTCCAGTACCGAAAATGATGGTACATACTTTGGCAATTTTTCGTCCCCGAAGAAATACTTTGGGGCCAAAGTATATATATATATATATATATATATATATATATATATAAATACATATGTACATATATCTATATCTATATCTATATCTATATATCTATATATATATATATATATATATATATATATTTGTGGATACATGGACGCTCAGGGTGTGGTGGAAGTTGTAAGCCTTCAGGGAAAAGGTTCAGGATGTCGAGGTTACATGATTCCCAAAACCGAAGGAACACCCGGCATCTTTCTGAAAACGACACGTTTTGTGGTAGAGCAGGCAGTGGCACAAACCAAATTCAACAGCGTACGCATTATGAGCTTTCATTGGATGTTGAACGGCAGGGTTTTTCAGGGTCTAGGGGATACTTGGAGGTCATGGGTAGTTATAAGTGGGGTTATAAGTATAGGGTAACTATACTTATAATTCAAACTAGGGACTTATAACCCTGCTTATAACTACCCATGAACCTCCAAGTAGGGTTATATCAATCGAGAATGGCGGGAAGGATGTTGCGAAGCATTCAGGCTCCTATGCTGACTTGCGCATTGCATCTTGAATGCCGGTGGAGGCAGAACCTACACGTCCCAGCTACAAATGTGTTCCGGAAGACTTAAGCCCCCCGCAATCCCGAGCCGCACAAGCCACTTTTGAGTTGAGATCAAGTCATAGGGACAAGAACAAGAAGGGGATATCTCAACGGGTAAGCTTCAACCAAGCCGGATCGACAAACAGCTCTCGCCTGTTTTCACCCGGCTGAACCCAAACAGACCCAGAGATCCCAATATCCCTCAATTAAGGAATATACCTTAAATCATATTAAGAATCCTACCATAATTTGAGGGATATTCCTTAATTAATGGATATTGGAGTCTCTGGGCATCCACATGCTCTAGGGTGAACCCCCGAAAGTTGGAAACCGGACTAAGGCCAAATAGTGCTGGGATTCCCTATACATTGCTCTTAAGGATTGAGGCTATTGGTTTCCAAGGTTTGGGCTTCCACTGTAAACCCTCGAAGTTTGGAACCCGACTCTAAACCCTAAACCCTAAACCGTGATGTAAAACCCAAACAAAGCCATGAAGCCATGAACCCCCGGAAACCCTCAACACCCGAAGCTCGAAAGCCCAACCGAAACTTGCTCACGTCCCAGGACTCCCCAATGGCCCTTTAATGGAGCTCTTATGGTCCTTAATCTAAACCATAAACCCCTAAACCCTAAACCTTCGGGGGTAGTTGGGGGCTCTAAGTCGGGATGCTGCTTTGCCATCCCAGAGATCCGATCCATAAAGCCACCATCCTCCTCAGTCGAGTCTTGGAGGTGTAGAGGCTTGGGATTTAGGGTTTAGGGTATTTAGGGTACAGTATAGGATTTATAGGGTTTGGGATTTAAGGTTTTAAGGATGTTCAGGGATTTCGGGCTTAGGGTATGCAGGGTTTTTAGCGTTTAGGGTTTCGGGAAAATAGGGTTCCGGAGGTTTGGCATTCTTTCTCCTTTGGAGTTTTCTCAGGGCGGCAGCGTGTGTCAGGCGTGGGTGTTTAGATTGAGGGAAGTTTCGGGCTTGGGTACCCATAGGCCCCAAAATAGTTCCCTTTTGTGGTTCATATAGAATTCTATAAGGTAGTCCCAAAAAGAAACTACTATGGGGCCTATGGGTAGGCTTTAGTGCAGTTGAATGGTTGAGATTTCCGGCCCATGGCCTCGAACCCCTCAACCCTCAACTCCGTGCATACTAACCAGCAGTGCTGAAAGGACTATAAAGGAATACTTACTGAAGGCAAACATATTCTGGCCATTATGTGGGGCTCGCAGCCCTAAGCCCCAGGGGGCTGTTCTTAAACCCTAAACCCTATAAACCTTCAACCCTATAAGCCCTAAACCCAAAACCCTAAATAAGCCCTCAGCTGTCTTGAACCCTAAAGTCTATAAACCTTAAGCCCTATAAGCCCAAAACCCAAAACCCTAAATAAGCCCTCAGCTGTCTTGTGATCTCGGGCTGTTGGCTTGGCAGATGGCAGGATCCTCGCCGTGCTCGCCCTGAGACTCCAGAACCCCTTAAGTAAGGAACAGGGTTTATAAGGTTTAGGGCTTATAGGGTTTAGGGTTTAGACTCCAGAAAGAGCACTAACAAGAATACTTGGGGGGTATATTCCTTTATTTAGGCATTTTTGCTATTAGCTTATAATAGGAACGCTCATCAGAATTCGGGTACATTCCTTCAACTGACCTTATCTTTGGCTAGTAGGGAATGGAGGAATGGGGTACAATTATAACTACTATTACTACCATTCTTCCATTCCCTACGAACCAAAGGTAAGTGAAGGGGTTTTGGAGCCTCAGGAAGGTTCAGAGCCCAGGAGCTCAAGTTCGCATCGTAGGGCAGCGGGTGCGGCGCGTCGATGGCGTGAAGGACAGCAGTGCCCTTGAGCTTTCGGATCAGCTCCTTTGGATGAGAGAATTCTAGGGTTTAGGGTGTGAGGTGTAGGGGTTTAATTAGGGTTTATATAGGGCTTAAGGTGTGGAGGGTCCAAAACACGGGTGCAACTACGAAGAAGAAGAAGAACTTGTCTTCTTGTAACCCTGTTTGGATGATGCGCTTAGAGTGGTTTGAGAAAGGTTTCTTCCTTCGGGACTGGCCAACACAAGTTGTTGTTTGACCCTCTTGGGATTAAGGGAAAAAGGATTCGTGCTTCGGCGCTCAGGGTATATAGGAGGAGGAGATTTTGAGCTTGTGCGTTTGGGGCTGTAGATCTTAAAGATTGTGGGTTTAAGTTTAGGGCTTTGAGGATGAAGGGTGGTAGGCAACATTTTGAACTTGAGGGCCTGGGGCCTTGAGTGTTGAGGGTTTGGGTCCAAGCGGGATAGGTTTAGGCATTTAGGGTGGGTTTCAGCCATCAGTACGAACGTTGAGGGTTGAGGATCTACCTCAAACTACCATAACCTAGTTTGCTGTAGGTTCTTATTATAAACCATAACAGGGAATTCATAGGGACTCTACAAAAAGCAGTTTTGATAGTTTAAACCGGGGCTTTGGGCTTTAAGAAACGCGCCAAGCTGGCAAGGTGGAACTTGTATCTTCACTCCTGACCCAAAGGAATTACAATCATGGTTTGGGGAAGTATCCCCCATAACAATACCTGGGACCTGTCGCGTCCCGCAATGCCCCCATGTCGCACCCGGACTCAATAAACCGCCGACCAACATACAATTCCTATTTAGTATAATAGGTATATGCTCCACAGCATACTCTAGCGACACTAGTCACACAGTCAGTCACACATGTTGGGTTGGGTTTGTGATATGCCTGAATAAACACCCCAACCAGATCAGAATATACTTATTTCGTTTGAGGTCCTTTGCACGCTTCTGAATGAAGACCTCCGCATTCTGCCCGAAGCCATGGAGGGCAAGAAGCCGTAACGCCATGATGCGACGGCCCCCAACGATCGTGGGTTTAGGGTTTGGGTTTGGGGTTCAGTGCTGTAAAGGGGCGGCAATGATTCTGAGAGGTCATGGGACGGGCATATTATGGCAGAACTAGATCGGGACTAAGTGGATACTACTATAGATTATTCTGGACCACTGGATTGGCGGAGATGGGTTGTGCTAGATGCGTTGTACTGTGGGCTGCCTGGAGCTCAGAGGCAGTGCGGCCAGCACTGTGCTAGTTGGAACTGAATCGCTCCTTTCCTAGTGTTCAGCTAGGCGTTTGCATCTCGACAAAATAATTCAAAGCAGCTGAGTCCCAAACACTAATTAATTACTAATTACACCTCAATCTAAACAAAAGAACCAACCCCAAAACCCCAGGACCCCTTTCACACCCTGAGGCATCTATGCAAGACCCGGTGCCTGGTTTCATGCCTCAGCCTCCTCCGCCTCCGTGGCTTCAGATGCAGACACCTCGGGGCTTTGGGGCTGAGTACCCTAGCCCAAAAAAGGTTGATCTTTTGAATTGTGATAGGATTATATGAACCCCAAAAGGCCAAAGGTTGCATACTCAACTGCTTAGTGGTGCTCGTTCAAAGCTTTGATAGGTTAAGGCTTGGGGTTTAGGGTTGAGGGGGTCTCTTGGTCGTATGAAAGGTTTAGGGTTTAGGGTTCGTTATGAAACTCAGGCTGTATTCGCCCGTGTGGCTTACCGGTTTCGGGGACTGGTCTTTTGTTTTCGGTCGAGCCGGGACTTGAATCCCAAACCCCGAACCCAGAAACCATCAACCGATTCGAGGTGTGTTTCGAGTTTCCAGCTCCTGTGCATCGACTTAAGTTAAGGTTGAGGGGCTTAGGATGACGATTCAGTGACCATGATTGCGATCAGGATCGCGAGCTCGTTGCGCTTGCAAAGCTGAGTGCAATAGGTAGTATAAGGTGAAATTATTCCGACATATTCAAGGGCCTATGTCATGTGTAATCCCGGACGAAGATCTTCCCTCCATGAAGCTCTATCTTAGTACCATCTCCGACGGCTCTTGCAGGGACTACAGGCCTCTTAATGGATTGAAAGGGGCTCTGACGGAAGTTCAGGGTTAGGCGGTGGTAACACGACAGTCTGAAAAGTTCCTGAGCTTCTGCATCGTCATTCAACTTCCTTTTCCTTCGACGGCACGATGTGCAGCTTCGTAGTGCTCATAATCATGCCGGTTACTGCTTAGCTATGGGGTACCATCGAAGTGTACACCAAAAAACACTCAGCCATAAGCCGTAAACCCAAACACTAAACTTCGTAACAAACCCCCAAAACCGCCCAAGCTTAACCCGCACAGCCCCATATAACCCCTAAACCCTAAAACCCTAACCCTAAACCCCCAAACTCCGCAAAGACTGACGAAGGCCTGGGCAGCTTCCTCGAGCTCCCGTACGAGGATTTTCACGCTGAGCACCGGCGCATACTTTGGGTCGGGGCACTGGAGGTTCCTGGGTTCAGCGCACTAGGGACCCTAGGGTGTAAGGCAGTGTAAGGGTTTCTGGGTTTGGTGTTTGGTTCAAGAGGTTCTAGTTTTAGAGTTCCTAGGGTGTAAGGGTTTGGGTTTGGGTTTGGTTCAAGAGGTTCTAGTTTTAGGGTTCCTAGGGTGTAAGGGTTTATGGGTTTGGGGTTTGGTTCACGAGGTTCTAGTTTTGGGGTTTTTAGGGTGTAAGGGTTTATGGGTTTGGGGTTTGGGGGGTTTCAGGATCCAAGGGTTTCCCGAAGATGATGATCGATGGTGATGGTGGTGATGGGGATGATGGTGTTCTTGGTGGTGCTGACGATGGTGATGGAGGCACGGCTAGCCCCCTGTAGTTCACAATGAGCGTCATCTTGCTTTTGCTGGCTGATAAACGGGTTTGACATCATGTTTCTATTATCTACACGTACTTGTATATATACATATATATACACATAGTTACATAATAGTAATATATATATATACATACATACATACATACATACATATATATATATATAGAGATACGCTGTGTGCATATAGACATACAGCTACGGTGTATGGCTGAAGGGTTGGGGTGTTTTGATTTGACCTTCAGGGTTTAAGGTTTGGGGGCTCCGGCTGGTAAGGCTTAAGGTCCACAATTTACTGTAAGTACTAAGGACCAATACAGGAGGAGCCTAGATCATAAGATCAGTACCATTCGGGATAGTAAGGAAAAACCCTATGACTTACACCACCCGGTATAAACCGCACGCTACACCTAGACTCTATAAACCCTCGACGCCGAAAACATGCAACCCTCAGTGTAATTTAACCCTCAAAGGGTTTATACCCTATACTAGGTGTCGATTTCGATCAGGGCTCTACATTAAAACAGTAATAATGAAAAAGTATTTGAGCAGTAGCCCAATTTATACATCACATCAATTACACCTCTCTTGCAAAACCTCGCTGGCTTTGCGACGAGAGGCAGCTCTCCATCGAAGCCACCTGGCCAGAACTTGACTTTAAAAGCTTCGAGGTTGAGGGTTCGGGGCTTTATGGCTTTGGGTTTTTTTCCTTTTTAAAGGGGGGTTTGGGGTTTATAGGGCTCAGGTTTCAGGGTTGGGCTTTAGGGCTTTGGGCCTTCAGGGATTAGGCTTTAGGGTTTTAGGGATGAGGCTTTAGAAGGCTTTAGAGTTCAGGGTTAGCCTTTAGGTTTTAGGAGCCAGCCCCTGACAGGGCATACTAAGGCCCCGACACTGAATCCTTATAATAGCCCTTTTAATTGTAGCCCTTATAGACCCCTTTTAGGTTTTAGGAGCCAGCCCCTGAGAGCGACATCCAGACTCTCGGCCCTCAAACCTCGAACGAGCCTTCCCGATTTCTTCAATGCGAAAGAACTTCGCTTGCTTTCTTCGCGTGCTTTCGAATGTAGATACCTATCTCTTATGTATATATATATATGTATATAATATGTATATATGCACATACACCGACATGAGTGTAATCTGGCATGGTCCTCCGGCGGAATGCAAAATACCTGCTAGAATACAGACATACAGGAACCAGCAGCGAAAAGTGAAAGCCTTTCTTTAAGCGAAGCAGTGCCCCAATCCTGCCACAATACCATAGGGGCCCCGTATCCTATATACTATGAACCCCTATATGGTATATGAACTTTAAACCCTTAAAAGGTACATTTCGTCCTTAAGGCTATGCATGTTCAGCCTGGGCACTAACCCTAACCCCTAAACCCAAGCCCGGAATGCTCCACTTCGACAACTCCAAGCCCTGCAGCCCAAGACCCTCAGTGTACGAGCCCTCGGTTCTTCGTACCGTTGACTTTAAATTAGGGGGTTAGGGTTTAGGGTTTAGGA